AGGTTTTCCAAGTACATAATGTAATTTGCGTGACAGAGATTTCAAAGGTTGAACAATTATTTTGTATTTTTTATTGTCCTCATTTTTAGAGTACTTTTTAGCATTTTTCGGACATTTTTTTTTTCGTTTTATTGCATATTTGTACAATATACACGAGTATAATATAATAATAGTATTTGCACATAATACGACCTTCGATTAATTTTCTCGGTATATTTAGTCTATGACTTAATAATTTTTATTCAAATAATTAGAAATACTATCCATGTTTTTCCAAGTTTTCTATTCAATCAGTCAAACACAGCCCCTCAGTTAATGCTATCGTCGATAGTCACGAATCAAGTTTTTTATTTTTTTTTTTTTAATAAAATAAAAATATTATAAATTACACAGAACAATAAATTTAAAAAACTAATATTTCATTTTTTAAGGACATTTTCGCTATAACATGCATTTTAACTTTTTTTTTTTTGAGCATTTTTTGGTGGTTTTTAGTGCATTTATAAATCCGGGTCCTAATACTAAGTCAACGAATCTAAAAATTAAAATTTGTTTGTTACGATGAAAGACGTAAATAATTACTTGATATCATTTCCCGATCAATGATGTTATTTACCAAAATAATTCAATTACCTAGGTAAATGTTGTAAAAAAATGCGTTTTAAACTCAAATGTACATCTTTCACTAGTCAATTACGTCATTTACCAAGTTTGTTGGTTAATGACGATTATAGGTTTATAATAGCTTTTTTCTAATTTTTTTTTTTTCTGAGCATTCAATCTCTTGCGTATGCCTTGTCCTTGAGTTGTTTGTATGAACCAACTCTTGAATCTTTAATTACTTAACTATTCTTAAGTAGAAATGCCTTCTTTGCTTTATCTATCCTGCTTATTATTTATTATTCCGATCTTCCATAGCCGCTTATTATGCTTCCTAATTATTTAAACGGTTCCACTTGTTCTAGATTCTGTTCCCTTTAACGGTTACATTAATGTTTAGTTTAATTTGTTTGCTGCATACTATAGTACTTTTGTTTTTGTCATATTTTTATTTAATTTTAATATTAAAAATATGTCAGCCACTTTAGTAAGCGCTGTTTCCAGATTTTCTTTGGACGTAGCGACAAAAACTTTATCGTTCGCGAATGGTGTATAATAAAAAAAAAAAAAAAAAAACAAAACAAATCTCTAAAAAATTAATATCTAAATTTAGATATTAAATCCACGGCTTCCTTTGTTAGTTCTGATAATTCTGATAATTGGGATTTCCGTTCCGGACTGTCTACGATGACAAACTGTTCAATTGTTCGCTGAAATTCGCCGCAATCACATGCAGGTTTGTCCTTTTCAGACGCCATCTATGAGTAAGTTTTCCGCATCGTCCAACTCCTGTTCTTATCCGGTTAAGAGCTAACCGATCCTGACGCGAAACAGAAAAACCCGCTGGCCGACCGTCGGGATTACAGGTGAAGTCATTATGCTCGGGCGTTACGTTGCCCAAGTACACAATGGCCCTGAAATCGGAATCTATAGGACTGTTACATTAACATAATATTCTGTTATTGTTACGTTAAAATTAAAATTGCGTCTTTTTTGGAATATCAGCTGTTATTACACGAGTCACATTTCGAAAATTTCAATTACGTTCCTATGACATAATGCCTGGTTTGTGTTCACATTCGGTTTTTTTTACCGGATAAAATTGTTTCTACAGTTCAATATGCAAACATAGGAAATGTAACAATATTTTCAAATCACACACCTGATGTATTATTATTGCTTGTCAATGTATAGAAACTATACGAAAGTTTAAACAAGGTTTTTTTTCATCCGTCTAACTTAGTAGTAAAATAATACCTACAATAATCTATACAGGAGGCTATTTTTCGATCTGTAGTTGTCTTGATAAATGGAAAAAAAACCCGGCAATTGTTTTGTACAATTTCTGTTCGATTTCCGGGGTAACTTGGCAATGAGAAAAAAAACCACGACCGCTCAGAATCGTTCTTTACGTCAGCGACGCGTTATCGTCCCGTACAGATATGAATTAAATTAATAGCCTAAATATACAGGCTGTTACACCCAAAGATGACACCTGAAATAACTATCATCATAGTTCTGTTCAATATTTTTAAGGTTGTTTTTTTTCTGTTGTAACAGGAAATAGTAGGAAGAAAATGAAAATCCCTTCCTGTGCCCATCCGAAAACCACGGCACGCCGGTCAGAAGTGTCGGCTTTAAAAAAAAAAAAAAATTGAAGTGGGCCAAAGCATCGGGACAGTCGATTGAGCAAAAAAACCCGTTAGTATATTATAATATATGGGTCGGGGATTTTTCTCCCTACGTTTTTGGGGAAGTTTTGTTTGGTGACCGGTCAAAATATCTCTGCAAAAATATCTCCAGTAAAAAATATCTTCAATAGAAATATCCCACAGGAAATAATAACTAATCACAATAATAATATTGTATAATATTATCTGAAATATTTTTCCTACGCTATTTTACCTACAAGTTCCTACGCTAGGGTTAGGTATTGCATGTGATACAAATACAGTGAGAGTTAATCATGATACTCATTAATTTTAATTTTTTTATTTTTAAATATTTATTTAATTTCTGTTCAATCGAAACATAATTTTTTTTTAATTTTTTTTTTTTTTTTTGAGAGGGATTGCTCACAATCTAAAATCAATAGGTAATAAAAAAATCATTCGTATAAATCCTATAAATCATTTAAGCAGACATTTTGCCTATAAGAAATGTTTCTATTAAAGATATTTTTTACCAAAGATATTTTTACTGGAGATATTTTGTACAGGAGATATTTTTTATCGGGGATATTTCTGATCGGAGATATTTTTGCGAAGATGTTTTGATCGGGAACCTTTTTGTTTTCGTTTCGTTAACTCTGCCTAAACGGTGCGGCGGCGATGACGAAACCCAACGAGACGCGCGCGCGTTTCCGGCGGGGCGAGGCGAAGGTCGCTCTGCTTCGGATTCTTTTGTACGCACGAGTAAATTATTGTTGTAATTCATATCGTACCGTAAACGCGAGTGTCTATTGTGGACCGGCTCTTTTCAGCGGAATTGAATAATTGACCTAACGGACGGGATACGGCGACATAAACAAACAAATACCGAGCGATCGCCGCGTAGTGCGATCTCTGCGGTCGTATCATACCTCTTTTCTTTTTCTTTTTTAATACGTTTTCAGAACTTATTGGCTGCTTGTGTAAATAAACCGCACGAGTACGATTTTCGTAATAACCATAGTGGCTGCAATTTCGAAAACGCATTGTTATTCAAAATAAACGTAAACAATAAAAAATAATATGTTTGTTTTTTTTTTTTTTTTTGAAAAATGTATATTATTGTCTTCTTGCGTAAACACAAATACCTGCAACGATTCGGTTATTTGATTTTATTACTACACAATTATTCTGTAAAGTTATTTAATATTGTCGATTGTCGGTACTCGGTTAATGTACGACGCACGGACGACATTACGATTAAGCTCCGGCGATATTTTTAAGAAAACTAAATAACTTTCTGATAACTTGCGATGAAGTCGCTTTTTAACCTCAAAAGTAATGTGATTTGACGGGATAAAAAAAAAAAAGCTACTCGTAAATGATTTAGTTTCAATTTTGAAACTTGTAACTCACCTCCCTGCGTTAGACGCATCTAGACGCAACTAGGGGGTGGGGTGCTTAATCCCATCGGTGTTCCAAATAGCGCCCCTCGGTTTTTCTGTCATCAAGGTTTCTAATTGTTATTGGGAAAAATATTTAACAAAAATGCCTTTTGTGCACATTGTATATTGTATAAAATGAAAGTACACATATTTTCGTTGGGAAGATCCGTGGCTAAATAGCTAATTTAGCCACGGAACAATCATTTTCTCGTGTGAGACGCATTCAAAATTGATTGAGAACGTCAACGGTGGGAAATCGCTTTTCTAACTTGGCCACGATAAATATCGAGAGAGAAATGTCCAATAATATTAATGCTAACGACATACTTGAATATTTGAAAAATATGACAGATTAAACCGACTAATATAATTAGATTTATTAACGTTTTATAATAACTATGTGTATTTTTTTTTACGATTAAAATATATTATATTATATTTTCATTAATTGAAGCAAATAAATTTGTTCGGGGCAATAGCCCACCTCCCAGAATTTGTATCGGAGTTGCGCCTATATGTTTAGATGTAAGTGCGATGTGCCTGGGATAAATACCCGAAGAACAGGTAAATGTTTTCGGTGTTTACCCACGAATAAAACTTTTACCCGCTCGAAATTTGAGTAAATATGTATTTTTATTTTTTTATTTTTCATCTGGACGAACCGTTTATTCTAACCGATATCGTAATGTTTTACAGCAAATACATAAACGAATCGATATTAAATTAACATTAGTACTAATAGAGTCACAGTGCGTCGAGTTGTATTCAATTCATGTAACATGATGACTTTAGACTATTGGTGTGAAAAGACCTCGGAGTTTTCATTAATTTGTCGAGTCGTAATATTTGAACGGAAACGTGAAAACTAATCGTTGTGTTCGTTTATCGAGTGTCTATGTAAATGTACGGCCGTGAGTACAAAACAAAAAACAAACAAAAAAACGGCAAGTTTTCGCGTGCAATTTGTCGCCGATGTGTTTTTATTTATTTGTTTTTTTTTTTTTTTTTTTTCAGCGTACAGAACAAAACCTCGCGCTAGTCGCGGCGGCGGAACATTCCCGGACCGGACGCATACAGAGCGTTACCGAGATACGATTAACGCGTAAAACCCAACAACAGTAGTTCTACGTAACACGTAACACGCGTTATCGTCTACGATAACGACTTGCGTGATGGTAACATTGTGATGTTCGTTAACGCAGATCTCGATTGACGAAACGCGCGGCGGGCCGGGTCATAGGGCATATTCCGCGGACGTTTAACGCGTGGCGTAGTCCGCCGCGTCGCGGCCGTCCGACCGGCCAGTTGACCGCGCGAGCCGAACGCCGCAACAATAACCGCGCCAGTGTAATAATCGACCGAACTGTACCGAACCGCGCGTATGTTCGTCGGCCCGTCCGTCATGCCGTCGTCGCCATTGTTCGCCCGGGCGTGAACGCCGTGCACCCGTCGTCGAAACAAACGTCGTTGTTCGCGATATTTAATATCGCCGTCGTTGTCCGACTACCTACTACTAATACTACTAATACTACTACTACTACTAATACTACTACTACTACTACCACTACGTGCGGTACGCGGGGCGCCGACTGCAGTACTCGTCAGCATGGACGCCGCGACGATGTTCCTGTGCTGTCTGCTGGCCATCGGGTCCGTCGCACCTCCGGCCGGTACGTATACCCGCGCGCGTAACGATACTATAATTTTTAGCTGCCACCGTCATTCTTGTCAACCGTGTCCGCCGTCCGGATTGTCGGGTCCCCGGTCCGGACGACGGCGCGCGTATTGCGGTACGCGCGCCGTCGTTGCGGTCGCCGTCCCCGCGAATGTCGCCGGCGTTCGCGGGGCATCCGCGTGCCCGTGGCTCTTCTTGCCGGGGGAACGGGCGGGCGAAAAACATACCTAACCGCAGACCGGTTCCTTTGGACGGGTAACGCCACGGCTACGCGTCGACGCGCGCGCGGTCTTTTATGCTTGCGAAACGTTTTGGTCGCGCGCAAAAACACAAATTTTCGTTCGAGCGAACGTAATAAACGTTACGACGCGCGCGATAAACGTACAAGTACGGAGTGTGCGGTTTTCCGTAGGTGAGAACCCGCGAACGACGCGGTCCGCCGACGGCTGGCGTCGTTGAGAACCGCGCGTTTTGCGTCGTCCAATACCGCGCGCAATGTTGTCCGTTGAAAAAAAAAAAAAGTGGAAATTCAAAACCGCACACATCTGATCGGCAGTGAAGAGCCGTTGCGGGCGAAACCAGAGACGCCCAACGCGGTCCGCCGGCCGGCTGCGCCCGCCCGGGCGATTACGGCCGAAAATCGCCGTCGATTCGTCGGGCGAAATCGCGTTCGATAAGACCGCAGAGCGAAACGGTATCGTTTTTTGGAAAACTGTACACAAAAGTGTGCGGTTTTGGACGACGGCGTGTTTTTTTTCTTTGGAAGCGTGCAGTTACCGCATAACGACCGCGGCCGCCGGTACGCGTCTTATTTCCCGGCGCTACCGTGCGACAGTGCATCCCGTCGATCCCGACGCATTTAAATCGAACAACAAGAGACGGCGGACGAGCTGCCAAAACAAAACGGCAACAGCTGCAGTGACCTTGATCCGGTTCGACCATACGGATAGCGGAAGTATTTTTAAAATCTATCGGTTTCACCGTGCGATCGTATTGTTCACTACTTTATTAAAAAAAAAAAAAAAAAAATCAAAATAATTGCGAAAACAAATACCAATGTTCACACGGCCCACGGGGGGGGGGATACCCCACGGATACGACACTGGCTACTCACGCTATAATACCCGTGCCTCTGAGGGCCGGTTCCGGGAGTGTCGAGATTTAAAAGTGCGAGTCGTCTGTATCGGTGAAGGGAGGAGGGGGGGGGGAAACCTCGGGTGAACCGAAGTGCTAAGACATTGCGGTAAACGCGGCGGCCACGGCGTTCTCGTCCGGCCGACACTGAAACGTATTTCCGATATTTCAGACGGACGCGATAATAACTGTGTGCAGTAGTCGAGTAATTTGAATAATTTTACAATTCTCACGAAAACCGTTGCCGCTGTCGAGCCGTCGTTTTATCGTTGATTTTAAAAGTTGAAAATTAATGTTTATCGGTCTATGACGTTATCGTTATAAATGTTCGATTTAATTTGAAACACGCGGATGTCAAATGAATCCCCTCGTGGCAGTTCGCACCGGCGAATAATGGCGAATAATTTGATTTTCAAATTCGTCAAGTTTTTTATGATACACGTCTAATGACATCGTATCAATTTAAAAACTGCAATTACATTTTCAATTTATGCTTCGCGGGATCAGACTGTTCTGAACAACAGTTTTATTATACTAACGCAATAGTTTAATAATGAAAACAAAACTTTACAACGTAATACGACTAACACTGATAGATATATATACAATTTAGGCCGTTTCGATTTTGAACATTTTTTTTTTTTTCAAACTAAGACTGGAAATTGCTTCTTGGTGGTCTCAAACTTCCAGGAAAAAAAAATTGTTTATCGCACGTTTAGTTTTTCCATTTAAATAACACGAGAAAGTAACGATACTTTAAATTAAATCACATTTATTCATCAAGTTCGAAAGTTATAAGGATGTGCATTGTTTTTTCTTAAATATCACAAAAAAATACATAAGATTCACTTGGAATCAAGTGTAATTTTACTGTTATAAGGATAGCTCATTTGTAGAAATCTATAAAAATTCTCAGATTTTTTTTTTTTTTACATTTTTAACTTATTATAGTCTATGAAGCTGATTTATAACCAAGGTTATACAACTTTGTAATATGTATGAAATAGTTACAAAAACTCAATTTGTATAGATTTCTACAAATGAGCTATTACATATAACAGTAAAATTTCATTTTGTTTTAAGTGAATCTTATGTGTTTTTTGCGATTTTTAAGAAAAAACTATACGCAACCTCGTAAATTTCGAACTTAATGAGTAGATGTGGCTTAATTGAAAGTATCGTTACTTTCCCATGTTATTTAAATGGAAAAACTAAATATTGGATACTCAAGATCTAACATTTTTTGTGATCAAACTATTTTTGGGCAAGTTTGAGACCACCAAGAAACAGTTTCTAGTTTTAATCAGAAATGTTGAAAATCAAAACAGCATAATATACATATACGAGGTAGGCAGTAGCGGATCTAGGGTTAAGGAGGGGGGTCCAAGGGTCCTCCGACCCACAATTAATTTTAGCTGTTGAAATCGGCCACTTTGGCTTCTAAAAACGAACTGTGAATTTACGCAGAGCAGAGATATAGTAATTATTTGTAATATTAAAACCATATCTTTACCCTAATCGGCGTGTGGTTGTTGAGTGAGATGGAAAATAAAATAACGTCTGAGTCAGAAAACCGACATCAGGCCATTCGTTGTTTATTATCTATGGTTCTGCAGTGATGGAATCCGTTCGCAAAACTGATAAAATGTTATAATTATTACTATTAACAATAAAACCTAAACAATTAATTAGAACCTTGAACCCCTCCCCTCAGATAGTTGATCTCCTAAAAAAAAAACATTATTATTCTTATTAGATGCAAACTGTCGAAATTTAAACGTACATTACATTATAATCAGACTTAGGTAAAATACAATTTAAAAGTATTCAAAATAAATATTCGAATGCGTACGAAAAATTCATTGCATTCAGAATATGTATTCAAATGCAATTTTCGATAAATTTTTCAAATCAAATACCACCGGATGAACGATTTTGCATCGTTTAAAATACTGTAATGCGTGAACAAACCTGAGCATTTTTCTAACATTTTCGAAAAAATTGTTTTCCGAGAAAGTAAGACACATATCTTAAAGCATTAAAACGAGTAAAGCAAAAAGTACTTTTTCAATAAAATAAAATGCTATTTAAAACTATTCGGAATACGCAGTATTGAATACTTCTGGGAAAAAGTATTTTTAAAATATTAAGAATACTTAAAAAGTATAAATAAAATAACATTTATTTACAAGCCATACCAGATCGCATTTAATTACTGTATTTAGCCTCGTCCAAAAAATAATTCTGGGTGTATGCTTGGTCCAAATTATTAGTCCTAAAATGTGGCCTCTCAAAAATAACTGATCTACAATTCCTTAACTCTAGATCCACGACTGCTTTCGCAAATAACATACATATATATATTATGTGGGTCCGGGTCAAAATCCCGACGGTTAAAATCCAACGAGGTCAAAATCCCGATAGGGTCGAAATCCTGACAAAGTTTAAATCCCGACCGGGTGAAAGTCCTGACAAGTTCTAAATCCACTGATATATAGAGTATTTTCTATTGTATAAAAACCCAGTATAACGTATGAACGATTGTTCTAAGGTACAGAAATGAATCGGACAATATTAACTGTCAAGGTTTTAACTGCCGAGACCTGGAACGCCTCTCGTATTATAATGATTTCTCATTAGAATAAAACTTGTAGCTAAACGTATTTCTAATAGAATATGTTTTTGAAAAAATTTAATTTCGGAACTTCGTCGTTTCTTAAGCGCCACTGCAGTTTTTTCAATAAAACAATTAGAATAATACCATAAATTCGACCATACACCGAAATAATGTTTAAACGCCTGTAATATCACAGCGAGTATAATATGAAACAATTAATTTTTCAATTACGAAAGTTTCGAATTATATTTGAAGCGCCTAGAACACAAGGGGTATAAATGACATTTTATTGATTTCGAGAAAAACAAGTTTAAAGTTATTGGTATTTAATATCATAGTATATTGTCATATTATTTCTGGTCTTGTGTTCGAATGACAACAGAAATTTAAACACTTGACAGTAAAGATACAGTAGTGTCTTAACAGCTATTGTGGACCCTTTTACCTATTTACTTTTAATATGTTATGCTTATGACATTTTTACTTGAAGACTATTTTAGCGATTTATATTATTTTTTTTTTTTTTTACATATTTTATGCGTTTACTTGTAATACATACGACTGTACTTACACGGCTCCCATCACACTGCACCTATTCAACATTTTAATCGCTTATAAATATTAAACTACTGTAGGTATAGTTCAATCCGACATCGGAGAAATACTCGGTTTCACAATATATTATCAAAAAATAAAAATAATAGAATTTCTTTTCATTTTTAAAAAAAAAAAAAAAAAAAAAAACTATTGGCAATAAGACATTATAGTAGGAATACTCTGCTAAAAATTGTTTTTTTTTTCTGTTTTCATTCATTTACCGTTGTATACTTAATATATTAATCACTCTGTATATTCTACCGTCCCAACCTGAAAAACCAATATAGTACACGTGCTGTAGAAAAGTCACAACGCTGTTCCGGAAAATTTGTCTCGTGTTGCGGTACTATCGCGGTACAAAAGTCTCGGGTATTCCGTCGACACGAAAAACATGATACAATGTTACGCAACATTTCGTAATCCGTTCGTGTTCCGGGACATGTGTGAGCCGTTGTGTAGATAACTTTGAAAACAATTGAAGATTTTCGAGTACTCTCTTGTCTGATTCGCTATTCTTTCTTTCCGGTAACGTTATAAATTGTTTAAGCACAAAGAGCAATTTCTCGAGACACGCGTTCTGATTTCTGTAGGCGTAGACGTGCGACGTTTTTTTAGCGACGGTCTAGGCCCTAGACCTATACATTGTCCCTAGACTCTAGGGACAATGTATCGCGACTGTCCCGATACAAAATCGCTTGACTTAGTCCCTATATAGGTGCGTACTTGGCTTTAAATATCAACATGTTCTTTTTCCTTTCTCTTGCCGAAGGTTCATAAATATTTGATAAACTCACCCGTTTTTCAATATTATTTTGAACCGAAATATATGTATGAAAAAAATAAATTCAGACTCTGAAAACAGCAAGAAATGCGATTGGTTTTATAATGACATATGTTGTTTTTTTTTTTCTTGGTTTATAAACTACTTTTCTAGATTTCTAGAAATCTCGCTCCGATTTTCGAGCGTTAGCATTTTTTCCAAAAGAAAGTTTTCTCTGTCCGGTGAGAGGTCATTTTTAGCGTAAGAACTCCCTTAATAGTTGGAGGGAGGGCGAAATACTGGGAATAAACAGACGAACGTATATCAATTGTGGAATTTGTTTTTTTTTTTTTGTTGTAATTCGGTTAAAAATAATCGTGAAGACCTGCAATTTGCACGGTATATACATGCATTAGTTTTTTTCTAATGGTAAAACTGCCGAAACATTCTGGCCATTTTTTAATTATTTACTAGGCATTTGACATAAATACATACCACAATATGAATGACACAAGGTTTATCGTTGTAAGTTGTACTCGACGTTCAAAAAAAAAAAAAAAAAATAAAAAAAAAAAAAAATAGTTGAAATGGTAGTTTTTTTTTTTTTTTATATTTTTATATGCTTTTAAAGTAGTAGACATTTTAATAGAAAACGTAAAATCGGGGCAAACTTATCTTTGGGTTCATCATACGAGTATTTAACGAATATTTCCGTACAATATTTATACACGAGGACATAAAATCGTCGCTGTCGTTGGGGTTTTTCGCTTTAATAGACCGTAATACAATGTCATTCCATAAAATCAGTACGTTGTTAATGTACATGACCCTGTGCTAGTATACTCGCGTATGCGTACATTATAATATAATATAAGCATTTCGCTGTTTTATTAGTATTATTTCGCCGTACGTCGCATAATAATAATAATATACTGTTCGTTATATATTGACATTGAATATAATATTATAGACGCTAGAACGGAAACCGCACATAAAATAAGAGTTCGGCGGCGGCCCTTAACGTCGGACGGTCCCGGTTTTCGGGGTCGCGATCGTATCGCGCACATAGCTCGTTTATTGCCCTCTCCGCGCGTCGGGAAAACGGTCCGAATAAAATATATCAGTGTTTTCGGATTGACTCGACCGATAACGTTTCCGACGCAGAAAAGGTTCTCTCCCGGACTAAACGTCCCGTATAACAATAGCGTATAATAATATGTTAACATAAATAATAAACCATAAAATACGTTCGATTGCGATCTGTTCGGTAAGTGTGCGTATTCGTATCTAATAACGTACGAGTTTTCGACGGATTCTAAAAAAAAAAAAAAATAATAATAATAACAACAACAACAACAACACTCGACCGCAGTGACGGCGCCACGGTTTTCCGTGGGCCCGTCCTGGCCCGCCCCTGCTGACGCCGCCGCCACTGCTCGGCCGAATCAAACCGCCAACGGACTTTTGCCGTGCTTCGTAAAATAATACCTTTCCGCAGTGGCGTGCACTTATGACTAACCGTGCGCCCGTCGTATATGCCCGGGTTATTATGGCGGTTTTTGTGACGTTTAATAAATGGACGGCGCTAAATATCAACGTTGCACACTTTTACGGCGAAAACTTTTTTCTACGTAAGAATTTGAACGAAACCGAACGTTTCAACCAACGTTTGATTTCACTGTTAACCGTACAAAAACTGCACGCTGACTTATAGACTGACTTAACAGTCAACCGACAATAATTAATTGTTCGTCAATCGTACTCGTCTATTATAATAGTTAACCTGATCGCAACGATTAATATACTCTGAATGTGCATTTTCGATTAAGAAAACTGGGTGCACTGTAACACAAAGTAGCGCCGTAACCGTAATCGTCACGGAGAATAAATTATAAATGTGTGTGGGCACATTTACACACATTTACACGTGTCTGGTTAAGAGGACGTCGTACCCGCGTGTGTTGATTCCGCGAACGTAACAAAACCACGTTACTTAGATTAGAACATGCATGTCGAACACGCGTCCTGCAGATAATTATTTTTTTTTTGCAGCCCACGGCTACCAATATTATTCGACAAAATAAAAAATTACGAAATATTTCATTTGACAACTATTGGTTTACATTATTCTGATTATTTCTTCCCATAAACTGTAATCGAATAATAAGTATTACTGATGGTTTTATAGATTAATCATTGATGTCATCGGTACGCTACACGCGTGCCTCTTCCATTGACAACATCTAATCTAGTCGTTCGATAACCGCCGTGTATTAGAATTTAAATTTTGTCGCGCGTGTACTTTGTTATAATATTATTCCGTGAATTTAATAGTCAAACATGTATCTATCAAAACCGATTGGTATTTTAATGAACGAAAAATGACCGATGAACATCGTCAATTTAAAGAAAATTCGGAATTACAATACTTGTGCAGGCAAATTAATAAATAAAATAATTTGCTTGATATGTAAAAGTGTTTTAAAGTTATAGAACATAAGCGACATAAGTCAAAATACGACCAGTAATCAGTATGAAAGGATACTGAGACAGAATAAACTGAAAGACTTTAAATCGGGGTGTAAACAATAACAGCTAATTGTTCACGAAAATGCTACGAGAAAGTGAATCTACAGTACACGTTAGTTATGTGTTGTCTGAGTTAATTACCAAACATTCGAAACCGTTTACTGAAGGTAATTTTATAAAAACGCGTTTGATTAAAATGTCTACCATTATTTTTCCCGGAAATCTAAAAGATTTTCAAACCATTTCATTAACACAAAATACGATTGATGAAAGAATAACTGAACTAGCATCATGCAATCGGATTAAAATTAAATCCCAATTTTCGAGTATTTTTCTATTAGTTTTGATTAAAGTACTGATATTGATGGCACAGCTCCGTTAGCTTATTTTTGAAGAGTTATTGGAAATTATACCTATGTACGATACTATTACAGGAAAGGATATATTAGTTTCTGTTTTTGAACTCTTGAAAAAATATGATTTACCTTTGACAAAGTTATCGTCTATGGCCATACAGATGAAGCTCCTTCTATAACGGGGAAAAATAAACTTTTCGTTGGAAGATTGCAAAAAAACGATAATGGAAATGTTGAACGAACATATATTTCATAGGATACGTTGTAATGTATTATACATCAAGAGGTGTTATATGTTTAAAAGTTATTAATATGGCACATGTTAAATTTTATAGTGGTTTATAGTTTTACAGTGGTTTGAACAAAAGACAAAAACAAATTGCAAAAATGTCCATATATAAACTGTAGCGCTGAGGCACACTAATTATTTAAAAACAATTTATATCAAAATTATTGAATAGAACAAAAGTTATTGCATTTGTCGAATTTTCGTGGGACATCGTGTGTAGGTGAACAGACGATTTCAAACATACGATTTTGCCAATAAAGGAGATATTGAATTCATAAACTTCGCCCAAATAAAATAAAAAAGAACAATGTTTAGTTTACATATTTTTGCAAATGGCTTATAATTATTTAATGTCATTCAATTATCATTGAATTCAAATAACTATAGGCATTAAAGTAATTACTATTGATTTTATTTATTTACTATTTAGATACTAATCTATAAAATCTTTCATATTGTAGTGGTTGATGGTTCGAATAGGTTTTAAACAAACAAATGTCTATGTTGGGGTTTTGTATGCATAAACTCATATATATTATATATATAGTTAACTAACCCATTTTTGATTCTCTGACTAAAAAGTAATGAAATTCAAAATAAACAGGTAATTATATAAATAATGAAAATTTAAAAAAAGTTCAACAGGAAAAGTATCTCTCCCTAATCTTTTCACTTAAACAAGCCATTTTCTATCGTGCATATAAATAAATAACCCGTTAATTGATTTTTATTTCTCGTTTTAGTTAGTATACCGACTGCTGTGGAAGAACAAAATGAAGAAAAGACTATTGCCAATGTGGTGATTCAAACCACCGTCGGGCCGCAAGAGTCTACGGCCGAAATCCCTGTTCAAACCACGTCTTTTGTATCAGCTACTGAGTCCGTCACCGAAACTCCGGTTATACCAACAGAACCTAACACCGAGACCCTAAAGTTTATATCAACAGAATCTACCACCGAAACTCCGGTTACAACAACAGAACCTGATACCGAGACCCCGATTGTTGAAACCACTGTCGAACCAACGACGGAGGCTGCGACTGATGCCGCGATAACGAACGATTTTGAAGTCTCGACTCAAAGCTCGATACCGATTGAAGTGGTCAAAGATAAATTAAGCGAGCAGATTAGGAAAATTCTGAAACACTACCAACGACCCGACCCCACGGGCTTCCCTGGAGCTCCGATCCCCGATCCGTTAAAAATACCGCCTATGAAGAGGAACTTTGGTATGGCCGACATGACGTTTACCAATATGACCGTTCATGGACTCTCAAAATTTCAAGTAGATCGCGTCAACACGGACTTGAAAAAAATGCAAGTAAGAGTATTTCATTGTACTAATAATATCGGTACAGACGTACAATACACAGTAATAATATGACTATTAAGCAGGTTCAGTAGGTATGTAGGCTAGGTTAGGGTCATAAATTGGTAGGTTAGTAGGTTAGATATAATCACATAAAGCGATAAATATTAAAATATATTAATAAACTTTAATTGACTCGAGTCTAGCCGGAGGGAATAAACTAGGTGTATTATGTGGGAGGAGACTAATCCTCAATAGCCCCCCCCCTTGTAAATCGCTTTGTCTGAAAAGATATCGATTGTCGCCATAAAATATCTTATTTTTAACATTTCATCGATCTAGTAGGAATGAGTAGGCATTTAAACTGTTTGTATTATTCACCTAAAATATAAATAAAAAACTCTTTTATTTTGAAAATAACTAATCTTTTAATATATGTATAGATATATCCATAGGCGCAACATAGCACTCCCAACTTTGGCGGTGTTAAAATTATGTCCCTACTGTCTCCTATACATAACTTTTATGATAAGCAACTGCATATTTTATTTGCAATGCATTGTCTGTGAGTAATCTGTATTTTGTTCTGTTCGTTAATTATGAATAACGCATTGATAAAATATTTAGTTGATACTATGAAAAAGCTTGTTGGGTTTTTCGGGGGTGCTAAAGGCCCCCTTAGAACCCCCTCTGTTGCGCCAATGGGTGTATGGTGTTTTACATGTCTTAAAAACAATAATATAATAAAAATGATTTATTCGGTTTCTTTTATCCGCGCGGAAATGGTAGGCGCCTACACGAAATTATTTCATCGTCCATTATTAATAAAATTAAATAATTAAAATTGTCATCGTTTCTATTATATTATTACTTCAATTTTCTCAAGTAATTTTCGTGTACACGCGAGGACAACAAGTACGTTTCGACTGTTATAGTTTTTGACTTCTTAAAACTCACTTCATAACTCTTAACGCCCAATTGTTTTGAACGTGAAATTCAATTAAATAACTGCCAACCGAGCCAAACAATATGTTTACATTGAATACATTTTCACGTTAAAAACACTATAAAGCGACTTTTCGTTGAAAAAAACTTTAAACCGATATTGTTTCTATCGGTAAACTTACATAAAAAATAATAATAATACAATTGTATAGGTATGCTATAAAATTCAATTTTTCAGAAATATCTATAGGTACATTATATTATACAGAATGATGATCAACACAACGTAAGACACTATCGCTATTTCGGAAATTGCTTACCTTATTTTCGGAATTTATTTTTGAGAAAATTTAAGAAACAAACCTCTCTTAAATATTACATTACCATTGTTTTTTGTCGCCGTTGTTGTCAAGGGTGAATCCACTATTATCCATTATTGATTTTCAAATAGCAACCTACAGTAAAAGTTCCATGTAAGTAGATAAAGTTGAGTAGTTTAAATTCATTTTAGTAATGACTTTTTAAATTTTCGCCAACGGTATCATAAACGTTAAGTTGATCGCCCTGTATAGGTACACGGTTAGTGAAAAGACAATCACTGCCATAAATATGACAATCGCTTACTGGAAAAAATTTCGGTTTGAGAAAGATAAAAAAAAAAAAAACTCAAATGAATATCGTGTGCAGGGTTAACGCGTTATAATTAAAATATAATGGATTTCAACACGCTTCGCGCTCAAAGTAGACCGAACATTATATTGGGTATAGGTATAGGTATCCTATGCGACAAAATTGTATTTTTATTATTTTTTTTAAAAATGTAAAACGAATTTGTTTTAAATAAAACGATTACGATAATATTATAATATTATCTATTAAATAAGTAAAATAAATACTAAAATGTATAGCAGACTTCGAAATCGCTCAAATCGTGCGTTTCGCTTAAAACCGTTCAAATACATATGAAAACTATCTTACATAAACGTAATGATATTTAATCGAGGATCGGCGAACGTCTCCAAGATAAAATCACCTTGTTTTTGTAGACCAACTACAAAATTGATTCGATTTTATGAATGGCGACCTAATTATTGTTATCGAATAAAGCTTATTGCACTGTATTGTGTCTGATATGGATATCCCCTTACTTTTGGACACTTTAAACGGCTCCAAAAACACACTCTCTTCGCTCAGAATCTAAATAAATTGTTTTACATGAGTCAGTAGTAAGTTAATTTGACTTCGAAACAATATGTATATTATAGTATATTATACATTGATTTGACAATTTATGTATTTTTAACAAAGAATGCAATTTTAAAATGTAATCATTATTTTCAAAAAATGTATCTGATTTTTTATCTGTTATCTATAAGTAAATATAGATTTTAAATTTTGGCGTTTTATTTTTTATCGTTTTCAAGATAAATTCGTATTAACTGTGTCTCAACATACGGTAACTTGGTGACACAGTAACATAGCAACTTATTATAACAAATTCGGCGTTGATCTTACCGGCGTGATCACTGTAATAATATATCGTATAGTTTTTGTTGCTTCGGGCGATTCCGATCGGTAGGTACCTAAGTTTTCCGTCGAAACCGCGGCGAATACGAATAAGTTTTGATCGCGTGACGTACGATACCGAAAACGCATAACCGCGAGAACAATCGTGCCGACCATACGCTATTTATTATAATTCAATAGAATACAATAACGATAACAATAATAATATTGTGCGTATAGGCACACCGAAATATATTGCACAACAATTGCGGTTTTGTCCGATTCGCGTGATAATATTTTGGGCGGGACGTCGCCAACGGTATGCTGGGGCCGTATAAACTACGTAATATTATAAGTTTAGGCCGTTTTGGCGCCTTGGATTTCGTTTCGCTCGATTTCTATACCGAAACCATTCGGCCCGAGACCCGAGTGATCGACGACGGTATTTTAATCGGCACAATAATATAATAGCTGCAGGCTAGTAGTTATCGTGAATAGGGCAATCGTTTGTGTTTTGCGTACTTGTACCGGTTGATAAGAAACAAAAAAATACCAAGTTATTACGTGGCCTAACGGTTCTGTATACGAAATTTTGTTTTTCATATTTTGACGTTCTTTAGGATTCTAGGGCATATTTTAACGATTTGCGTGCACATTTTTAAGACATTTTCAAACTCAACGAATCGAAAATCACAAAACAAATGTTCGAGATTTATAAACGGGGCAAATATTTATGTGCTTTCGCTTATTTCAATTAGTTAATCAAAAAAAATAGCTGTTCAAAGCTATATCAAAGCGCGTATAACGACTCTGAACGATAAAAACATTTATTTTGCGTATTTTTGAGCATTTTTTAATTTTTAACGCATATTTTAAGGATTTTGTATATTTTGTATATTTTTTTTTTTTTGTGCATGTTTTCGTATATTTAAATCTATATATATATATATATATATATTTAAAAGTTTTTAAGACATATACATATCATCCGTCTTAATCGCAATCAAAGGTTTATTTAGCGAGCAATTTTCTCGGCTTAAAAGTTTGTGCGGGGTAGTTGGGTATTAAGGATGTCTGTTTTATTACAGTTCGAAACCGTTTAGTTTTTCTGTATGATGTGAAATCGTTTATATGCGTATACGTACAAATGGGTACGCCATAGGTACCGGAAGAAGTGTGTAGATCTGCGGTATACGTGAATGTATATTTAAAAAAATATTATCGGGGTCTCGACGCCCTCGGTTTTTCGCTCGAAACTGCACCTCGGGGACTATCGGCGCATAACTTAATCGCGCGCTCCACGTTTCGTGTAGGGGCTTTTGGTCCGACATCACTACGGTGCAATTTCGAACGCGCGATAACGTTTAAATGTTTTATCGAAACGCTTAATTTACTCGCGGGCACGTGACTTTGTCTTTTTTAACCCCCCCGACGCGTCAGAAACTTCGACCGCGGTGTTCTTTCGATAATATTGTTATATTATATTCAACTTTTGAAAGTATAATAAAAATCATCCACGCAAACGGTTCGAAATAAATAATATGCGACCAGGGGCGGTTCTAGGAATCAAATTTCGTAGGAGCACCACCAGTGGTTCCAGAGAGGAGGAAATCGATTGATTTAACTCCCGTTCGTGTTTATGAGTCCCCCTTAATATTTTCAACTCCCTCTTTAGAGTTCGCCGAGAAACTTTCCTAACGGGAACGAATACATTTATAAGTAAGCAATGAAATCAGCCTAAATTCTTAATGGCCAAATCATTCCCTTAACGGTTAATACATATAAAATTATTAATATCTACTAAAAAGTATAAACGTAGATTTGTTTTATTTTTTATTTTTTATCTAAAATTTTCGGGTTACGAAACAAAGTTCAATGAAATCGGTCGATTGCAATGTTGAGACTCGTCTAGATCAATGTTGATAAATTTTCTAAATATTTATCTTAAACAGAAATGTTACTTATCTATCTAGATAAATTATTCTGTACACATGTACTTTTTTCAAGGCTTGGCGATTACGAGTTGAAAACTTAAAATTAGGTTAAAATTTCGGTTACTTATAGCCAAATTATACACAGATTCCAGGGTCAAAAATCTCTAGCTTCGCTCAGAATCTAAAAACAAATATTTTATACAAGTTAGTCGACTAAACTTCATAAAAAAATGTTAGTATATTAAACGTTAGTTTGACGATTTATGTAATTTACACAATAACTAATCAAATTTTATAATTTAATCATTGTTTTTGAAAAATGAGCCCGTTATCTTAGTAGTTCTAATTCAATTTATCTTTTATCTTTATGTAGATATATTTTTCATATTGTATCTTGATAAGCTTGTAATATCTGTGCCCCAACACTGATTAAATGTATGTAGTTCTCGAGATTTCTGCTGAAATACAAACAAATGTTTCCTTTCTTTTATCTTTTTTTTTTTGTAAAATTGCTAATACGATACGTTTTTGCTTTTTCTGCACTGCTCGTTGCAATTGGTCAACAATATAATTAATACACTGTCTTCAGACGAGGCGATAATGTCAACGATAATAACATAAACAGTTGGTTTTTATTATGTCAATAAACAATCGGGGTCATACTAATAATACAACAGTAATTACCGTTTTATTTTTACGCGTCCATTAAGTATCTCGACATAATTTCCAAATAAACATAATTTAGATCAGTGGCGTTCGCAAGGACGAGATTGTGGGTTACACTATCCTCCATTCCCATTGGCTTAAAATTACGACTATGAGTATTTATTTAGTCATTCCTTTTTTTTTTTTTGTTTTTAATATGGTTTTTAAATTCACATTGTCGGATTATGTATAACAGAAGATGATTCTACGATTTATCCATTAATCACGATTATTATTTACTACATTTCCGTCCCAATGGAAATTCCTGGGCACTGCAGTGGCTATACATTATACTCGAACGCTTTTCCATCATCATGAGGTGAATTAAACTTTTAACGTATAATATCGTTCACCGACACAATTTCGTCACACGAAACTCCGCAGAGGACTCTATGTACACCATTTAATAAAAAAATTCATCGAAAATATGAGAAAAAAAAAAAAACTATTTTGATTTATCGTCCGAATTTTAATAAATCGTAAATTATAATATTATTATACGAGTAATATTAAAACGTACCATAATAATGGGTCTTCTCAGACAATCCACTAGGGTCCCAGTGGCTTTAAAATAAAATGATGTTCAGGCTCGGGAATTAAAAATAATAATAATATAGTTTTTAACCAAGGGCTTTCCTGTTGCCTCGGGCCTTGAAAACGGTTTCACTGGAAATAATAACCAGTATCTTTAAAATATTCAAATGTTCTAATATTAAAATGATATGTGGACCGCATTTAAGGACAGCCAGTGTATGCGAGGTGGGCGATCGAGTCAAGTGAAAATTTAGGACGAGGTTTGGCCAACCCCGAATATCTCGGATGAAGACGAAGGAGAATAAAATTAAAAAGAAGACATAGACGTTTTTAAATTTTATCAATCTATCTATGAATCCACATTATATTTATCGTTTGTTATACTGAATCGTATACCCCACGATATAATTTTCTCGAAATTTGGCCCGTATGAGTTAAGTATCATAGAACTTTTTTCTGCAAAATGTTAGACCGCCATAAACGACCGTATCACGATTAAATTCAGCGTCACAGATTTGCGTCGACATTTTTTTTTTTTTGTTTTTTATCGATTTGACAAACGTAAAAGCGTGAAAGTACAACATTTCAAAAATACACCGGTGCATTGCATTATGTTAAATAATTTTTGAACCGTGTTCTCAATATTCAAAACTGCCATAATGTTGTTTGCGATGGTTTGCAGTTTCGTTTATGTGAACATTTTTCTGAATTTTAGCTGAAACATTTTTATTATTTTTGGAACTGCACTAAATTAAAATTGTACGATGATACACAATTAAAAACAGCCATAAAGTTAAATTCTGCTGATCGAAAAAGATATTAATATCACAATGTATAAGTATCGCTTTGCGTACAGAACACAATGTTAAATAAAAGATTTGTATTGTTGAAATAACTGAAAACCCGTATAATTTTCGGTTCAGATTTGAAATTTAAAACGCATTTTTATCGAAATTACAAATTTAAAGCAGAGGCGGTTTTGCTCCGGGAGTATAGTATTATTACTGCATCATATTATTATGTTATGACAATTACGCGTTACAGAATTATCTTCCCTGCTGGGATTTGCTGTATAAACGTTCCCCTTCGGTTTTACAATCGTAACCCCATCTGGCCGTTACCGACATATTATATCCCACTATTTAAAACAATAAGGCCGTTGTCTGTGTGTAGCGTAGAACATAGTGTCTTGCATACGGGTCGTACCATCGATAAACTGAAATCGAATAGGCGTGGTGTTTAAGAGGAGTGAAATGGGCGTGGGCACTGAACGATCGAATTACAAGGGGAGGTGGTAGGTACAATAGCAACTTTAAGGTGTGCGACCTGCAAGCTACTGCACGACGGTCCCCGGCACTATTTATATTAGCCTAGTTCCCGGCATTCAAATATCCTAAAAATTAACAATGCTACACAATATTTGTCCACGTGATGTATGTATACGGAAACTGAATAATCTATCGTTCGTGTGCCCACAGGTGTACGTGCTGCTGAAAATCAAACGGATGTATGTGCTAGGTAACTATACGCTCAAGTCGTGGTTCCAATCCGCGAAAGGGCCGTTCAACGTGACCCTTATAAACGTGGACGCGGCCACGGAGGCGTCGATGGAACCGGACCAGGACGGCGTCCTGGTGCCCACCAACATAGAGATGGACATGCGGTTCAAGGACTGCGAGCTGGACTTTAAGAACCTGGGCCTAGTGGCGTCGCTCTTCCAGGGCGTCATCAGTACGCTGGGTTCGTCGCTGTTCGAAGGCATAAAACCGTTCATCATCACCGAGATGCACAACACCCTGATGACGGATTTAAACGGTCAGGTGAGAGCGATCACCAAAAAGCTACCTAAGATGGACGTGCCGATACCGGACCTGGCGATCGCCGAAGGACGGGCGTACGTCCGGCGGATGGGATACGACCCGTATCACTTGGCCGACCGGCACATGAAGGAGGGCCCGCTCAACATCACCATATCCAACCTGACCATCGTCGGGCTGTCCGACTTCCGACGGGTCGGAGACATCGGGCTGCAGATCCGCGGCCCCGTGCTCCAGTTAACCGTGCACGTGGTCACGCGCACGGTGAACGGCTCGCTCCGGTGGAAATACGACCTGGGCCTGAACAAGATATTCAGCCGGACGGGCGAGTCCAACTTCACGGTGGATCACATTCAGGTCCGGGCGGTGGTCAACCAGACGTTGGACGTGCGCAACAAGCCGGTGCTGGATAAACTGGACATCGAGGTGGGCACCATCGAGGCGCACATGGACCGCAAGGAGACGGTGGACTACGTGATCGAGATGGTCGTCAATTCGCTGCCCAAACTGATGCGACACATCATCGTCGACATACTGGAGGAGCCCATCAAGATGAAGGTGCAGACGATACTGGACGACGTCCAGTTGGAGCAAATGATCGAGGAGAGGTTGCCGGAACTCGATCGACTGACGGAAACGTAGCGAGGCGAGGCAGCCCACATATTGATGTTATGAAAACAAGCCATTTATTTTTTCGTTTCGATTTTATTTATTTTTATTGATTTTGTTTTATTTTTTTATTTTTTTTTTTTTGTTTTTTTTTTTTTTGTACCGGACTCTCGCGGGTCCGATTATTTTCGATACGCTCACGATTCGTATCTCTGTACACTTCACATATTTTTTATTTTACTACCGCATAAACAACGTTTTCGACGCGACACAAACGTTATAATCATTATTATAAAATAGTAAATACATATTTATTTTATTTTCCATTCAGATACGTAAAATATATTATCTGTTACCGTGTTTTTTACCCATCTCGTTTCTAGATCATACTCGTACCATCACAATGTTATACGATTGCTGTATTGCCGTGGTATTTGTTTATCAATAACCGCGGTGTGGATTTCATTTTTCTAACCGTGCCATCACGTTTTGACTACGTTCGTGGAATCGCGTATTATTTCTACTATTTAACGTGTCTGTGTATTCGGTTTTTAATTTGATATTTTTGCATGTTTTATAGCGGTTTTGTAGATTTAATAAAGACATTTGGGCTGTTTACGTTTGTGCGTAATGAGAGTATTTTTCAAATATTACGACTGGGGAGGCTGATACAGCCCGAAAGTTAACTAGTGAGTTCGGTCTGTCTAAAAGTGAAGCTTTTTTTTAACGTAGCTGGAAGTGGACGCTCAATGGAAATTCTCACTAAAAACTGTACGAAAAATGTATCGTGTCCGTTCTTCTTCACCGCGGGTAAATAACGACGGAAAAACACTAGACTAGAAGAAGAAAAAATGTACAAACGCGCGTTCTCCACTTTGGTAAACGTCATTGGAACATTTGTCGCACGACACGGAATCGGAGTAATCAGAACCCATTATCTGATACGCCCACTCGAATGTATTGTGCGCATTTTAGATTTAGATCCAGAGACCTAAGACCTTTACTTCCCGAGACGCACACTTTTACCGTACGCGTGTCATTATGTCCGAACGGACGTTACACTAAATACGCTAATATTTTTACGATTCGCGTAATACCACGTGTATTCGACTTTTCCGCTCGGGATTTTATTACAGCGCCCGCGTCGATGCGCGTTTGCAATTTGTTTCATCATTCATCGCGATCGCAACATCGCGATATAATATTATAACAAGTGCGTGTGTGTGCGCGTAGGTTTTTATCTCGGTTTCGTCGTTTGCAATTATAAAATATATAGGTCGCGTCACTACTATATTACGCACGCTGCGGCTAGCGGTTTTATTTCATCTACATCGTGTACTCGTCGGCGAAAAATACATAAATCGACATTTTTATTACAGAACCGAATGCGGTTTCGCCGTAACGGATTGGGCGCGGCGTTTGTTTTTCATCGCGCGTTCAAACGTGATCCCGGATGGGATTCGGTAATAACTCCGCGACAACAGAAACTTACGTGCATGGGTCACGCGCACAGGTTTCCGGTTAACGTGCATTAACGCGCACTTTATCAGGGCGACGCACACGCTCCAAGCGTCCATTTATACCTGCCGCAGCTGTAGGTGTAGTCGCCTTGAAATTTTTTTTTTTTTTTTTTTCAGTAACGGTCAAAAAACGAAATCGACTATAACATGTGTTTTGGCGCATTTTTCGAATTCCGCGTATTCGATAAACCGCGTATACGAAATACCTACCGAATTAAATGATAATCGACTGTTCTATTCGTAATCCCGTCTCTTTACGTTATCGATTTGCAAAGAAATGTTTGCATTTCCCGTTATAGAATCATTGTTTTTTACTGTTTTTAAATATTTTAAACCGATATTTACCTATGTACCTTTCTACTTCTATCGATTCGAATTACTTTTAATTACTGAGATATTATAATAAGTAATAACTTATGTTAAAATCTCATTAACAGTAATAATAAAATAAAAAAATAAAACAATTTATTTAAAAATATTTTGCGTATCAATCCACTCTATCAGGATCAATAAACCTCAAAAAAAACTCTACACATATGCGCTAGCTCGTCATACATCGTTTAGGAAGTAAATATTGCGACACGCGCTTAAAAAACTAACACGATTATATTTGTTTTTTTTTTTTTTATTAAAACAAAACAATAGTATAATAACCCGAGTAATAATATACATAGACGCCTGTCGGGAGAGCGGGGTAAAAGGGAGACATGTCCCTCCTTGAAAATAATAAAATATCCATAAAAAAAAAAAAAAATTATGCATGCTTTGAATCCATCGAAATAAACAAATGTAAAATAGGTATTTCATGTTATGATTCTTAAACAATGATATTGATTGTTAACCGCCATCCGTAAAACGATATTGTTCAAAAATAAATAAACTAATTGTCCGTTCAAACGGATAACGTAAACTATAAACAGTAAAATATTATAATGTCTCGATTTCATTTTCAGCGCTTGACGGTTTTTTTTTTGAAACCTAATTTTTACATAATTACTCATTCTTTTTCAATAAATAACACAACCTATTATCCATATGCTACACATAGGTTTTGGTTTCGTTTTGTGTCCCAACTGAAAATCACCCTATGGGCGCCCTTATATATATAAATATACATATATACGTATACTGAGTGATCGAAATAAAATACAGAACACGCATCTCGTCTCGGGCACCCGCGCTATTGGCTATTTTCAGTAGCGGATATCGGAAGGGGGGGGCCGCCCTCCCCCTTGGGATAATCGTCATCTCTATATATTATTATCTACGACTTAATACTTAAGAATTTATATAGGTGCACAGGAAATTTCGGAAATTTACGATACCCTCCTCCCACGGGATGAAAGTGAAATAATCACTGGTGGGAATAAACCCCGTAACGTTTGTGGATTTGAAAATCACCCCGCCCCCTCAGGAGTAGGATATATCCGCCACTGGCTATTGTACGTAAACACGAAAACCTATTCAAAGTTAACAAAAAAATACAATAATTCTGTATTGTGTATTTGAATATAGTTTAAATCACAATAACAAATTAGGTAGCGGATAGTTGTATTCTCAGTCCACTTTGTTCATGAGCATAATTATTTTTAAGACAGGTTGAGAAAGTGTTAAGTGGAATACCAAAATTCTTTAGCTACCAAAGATTTTGTTTTCAATCCATTTTCAACTTCCCGTATCGCTGCCGCTTTTCCCTCGTATGTTAGCGTTTTTAGCACGCGTTTTGATGACATTACGAACGAAAAATTACGTGGGGTCACGTTGAAACGAACCACGGATCACTGAACCCGAAAGTCATACATTGTCGTGTTGTCAACCAGTTCGATAAGTGGTTTAACTAATCGGTAACTATAACGCTAACGACCTTATTTTCGATATTAAAATAAATACATTGGTACACGAGGGAAATTTCACAATATTATAATATTAATAAAACTCAAATATCCGAGTCAAACAGGATTTGTTCACATTGTTTAAATAGGCAATTCTAGGGGCCGGAGAAAAAGTTTGAGGTATCGACGATTTCGAGTTAAAGAAGTTCGGGATAACCAAGTTCGACCGTAGTGTTTATCTTGAAACTCGAATAATTTTGTTGAGCTTGACTCGCAGATGCTGTCAACAACTAATTTAGGTACCTACCTAAATAAAAGTACCTTTACGTTTATTCTACTCAGTTATCAAACTCGGATGTTACAGTGAAATTTTGTTTTCATCACTACATTCTGTTTTTGGCTTCCCGTTGTCACTTGGCATATACATAGTATTACGTACGATTTAGGCAAGTACATTTTTTCATATTATAATTTACACTTATTTCAAATAACTACAGCTTTTATTATTGATTATAAATGTATAATTATTATTGGATACCTTGTAAAAATGTATACAGATATTTTACAATCGCGTACATTTTCCCGGTCCCCCCCCCCCAATTATAAAATATGATATTATTCTCGGTCCAATCTTTAGTATCCCGTTAGTATTGTCTAGTAGAGCAAAACTCACCGTTAGTAGATAATTGTTTATTTTTAAAATTAAAAAATTAAAATATGCAAAATAACTTGTCTCTGTAAACTCTGTGTTAAATAGATCATCTCCAATTGTTACGTTAACAAAACTGTATACTACGGGTACATCATGTAATATACAGTGATAAATTGTAAGAACGAAATATTTGGACTATTTTAATAAAACGGTCTATACATTTTGTTTTCTAATTATTAATTATTCGGGTAATTCTTATGGTTTTAAATTTAATGATGAGCGTGTATTAATAGTAGATTTGATTTAAAAAACTTTAAGTTATTGAAAGGCCATGCAATTTTGATTTTTAGTTTTTTTTCAATTTTTTGGTTATTATAATGCATGTTATTCAGCCTTATTGGTAGGTATAGGTAATAGTAAAATTTTGTTCTACTAACCAATACTAATGATTGGACCAAGAAAAATCAAATTTTAAAATTGGGGGGGGGAAATGTTGGTTTTATAGTCTGCGTTAGATAAATTTGCATGACGGTGGCGGCGTAAATAATCGAAAACAGGAGTTTTTCGTAATTTCATGTAGCCAAAATCGTATATTATTATAAAATCATAACAAACAAACCACAAATCACAACTAGTTTGGACTACAATTACTAATCACTGATAAGCGTTGATGCCACTTTGCCAATTTAACTGACGGTTAACACAGACTGTACCCATAGGCAGTTAGGCGGATCCAAGACAATGTTACGGGTTTTGACAATGCACATAAGGCACGCATTTATGATGACTGATGAGCTCAATAATGAATCCTACTAGGAGTATAATGTAGCCAAAAGTATATTGGAGTAAACGAGAGGGGAAGTGATCGTCCCTATCATCCCACCTTTGATCCATCCTTGATTGTACCTACTAAGTACCTATGATTTTATACCTTCAATCTAATCATTGAATCATAATATACAGTGTAGGTATACGTAGTGATATTTAAGTAGACATATTTGTATACATTTTTCGTAATTAATCGAAAAATGAATTCCAATTATTTTTTAAACACTTAAGATTATTACAAATTATACAATATACAAGGTAGGTAGGAAAGTTATATTATACAGATACTAACTAAAACAATTTATTTGAAACAGACATAACCCAACCCTGGTTATTTTATAACACTAATCATTCTCAAACAAATAATTATGGGATTTATATATTGAAAGGTAAAGATGACCATGAATCAAATAAGATTTTGGTAATTTTATCTCTGTAGATAAAATTACTGAATCAATTTGTATGATCAAGTTGATAAATGAGTTACTAGCAACAAATATAATAACATTTGACACACTAATTTGTTTTAATAACACTTGGCAATATTGCACTTAAAATCACAATTAATCACAATTAAAGATTATTAATATATTTTTATAAGCACATAACGAATATAATTTAAATTGGTTTTAAAAGTATGTATGTACATAAAAAAGGTTCATAATAAATATGTTTGTAAAAATATAACATTTTAGTTGAAATATATTTATCAAGTGTAATATAAATTTCAAAAATAAAAAAAATAATGTACATTTATTTAAAGTTCCTTAAATTATTGCTATGTTTTAAATGATAATAATTATTACCCAACTTTTTATTGTCTTTATAACATTGTTTAGTTAAACATTAATTGAACATTAGATCAAAAAATAAAGGTACAAAGGAACTTAAAGTTTTTTTTTTGTTTTTTATAAAGATAAAATAGAACTTATAACACGTAGTGCCTAACATTTAACATTTTTTAAATTGTACTGAAATTAAGTACTTGAGAATATTAAAAATCATATCATATTATTACTTAATAATAGATTAACCATTAAAGGGCAAATAATATGGTGTTTATTTTCAACAACTAAATTACCGAACATTAGTTCAAAGTAATAAGCAAAATATGAGCAATAATATGAATATTAAATAATGTAAAAAAAAATTGAACAACTATTAACAGAATTAGTTCGGCTATATTTATTGAACAGGCAGAGGCCCATTGAACAAAACAATGTGCACCAATAATAAAATTAAATAATTAACAAAAGTTGGGAGTAATAGACTTGAAAGTAATAAACTAAACAGTTATTCCTTGATTCAAAAATACAAAAATACCAACCACAATTGAAAACAATTAAACAATCAAAAATCAGTCAAAGTGACATTGCAGAAGATTTAGATAAAATTATATAGTAAATATTAATTAATTGATTAAACATCAATTGTAGCTGTCACAAGAAAATTTCAACAAGTCGTATAGAATGTTTAATAAATATAATATAGTCACATGTGTCCTGGAAATCATACTACAAATGTATAGCATGATATATGCATCAATAAGTATATATGTGCATACATATTATAAATAACAATTATTATATTGTTTATAACTTTTATCACCAAATTAATTGCCTTAATTTTAAATAATATTAAAATAAAATATATCATAAATATCAGTTTGTTTTTTTTTTTTTTTTTGAGAAAAGAATATCACAATAAAAATTTTTTACTAAAACAATATAATAACTTGACTATTTAAAATAATTAAATTAAAAAGTTGATAGCTACCTACAGGAAACAAATGTTTTGTACACATCACCAGTACAAATTTAGGTCACGAAGTACCAATAAATATAATAAAAACACCTTACTCTTATTTAAGTACAACAACAATTTCAAGAGCAGAAAAAAGAAATACAATAAAAAAATAATTTTACATATTTGCAGATTTATCACCAATACAAAATGAAATTAATAAAACAGAAGAGCTTATTTAAGAATACCCTGTGTGAGCAATTGGTTTTTTCTATTTTTATTTTTTATTTTCTTATGTAGATACTTTTCGTTCGCCATTTAATTTGAACAAATATTGTCCTTTACTAATATAGTAAAATGGTCTCATTAATCCTTGTAAAATTCTTCAATTAAATCTTTGTATTTTTCATTGATTATAGGACGTTTCAATTTAAGTGTAGGACCTATAAAAATAAACAATTGACATTAGAAAATCAGTTTACCTAGATAATAAAAATTACACATGGATGGTGTATTTTAAGTGTTCATGAAATATTAATGTTCATCTAATTAAAATCAAAGCATTATTACCCACTCACGAAAATAAAAGAAAAACTATATTATATAATTAATACATATTTAAATGTGCAATCATTAACAAAATTACGCAATTGTGATTTTTTTTAAATATAAAATGTATAACACTCATTTAGATAATAATATAATAAGTATTGACCAAAATTTAAAATATGCAGTATTTTAATCCTGAAAGGAAGAAAAAAATGTATTCACTAATGAATTATTATTAAAGAAAGGTTGAAACCTCACAGATAATATCACAGAATATATGAAATTAAATTAATATATTCTAAGGTAACATAATGTGCAATAAATCACACAAACCAACATTATCAGGATTTATTTTGTTAAAACTATAGAAAAGTTAAATATATTTCTGTAAGATTAAATCACTTTAAAAAATGCATACACTTTAAATAAAATAAAAAAGTAATATATAATTGTTAATTAATAATTACACAAAAACTAAACCTTTATAATACCCCAGGCTTTAAACGATTTTTCTACATTTATACATATAAACTGAGTGATACTTTTATCGCTGAACACTCATTATTTCAAGATATTGACTTTCATTTTTTTTTTTTTTTTTGTCACCTTTATTTTTGAGGGTGAAACAAGTACCTACTTTTGATTTTCAAATAGCAACCTATATTGAAAATTCCTTAAATAATAGTTAAAATAAATTTTGGTGTTAAAATTTTTTTTACATCAACCTATTGACGAGATATTCAACTTTTAAGTTTTGGTCGGGGGTAAGTGGTGGTATATTATTAAAACGCCTGTATGCCATGCCGCCACACAAATGATACTCAACTACTCTCCCCTGACCAAACAATGATAAAAAAAATCACACAATATATAATAATTAATATTTGAATAATTTCATTATTAGAACATAAGTCACACTACCATTAACTACATTCTTTACTATAAGCATGTATTGTGTTTATAATTTATGCTTAAAAACTTTAAATCCTATCACAAATAACTAAATTCTTTTCAAATTATATTATATTCAAACATAAAAAAATAAAATAAGATACAAATAAAAGTTTTAATTGACTTACCTAGTTCACCGGTAGGCAAGGAGAAATCAGTGGGCAAAAGAGCAAACTTCTGAACTCTTTGAGCATTAGATATAGCTTTTTTGTTTGCTCTATCAAGACCTAATTGAATGGCTTCAAAAACTTCTTTTGGTTTGTTTGCTACGACCTCTGATACCTTAGTAAAATTACAATTAAGTGATGACAACCATGTAATCACTTCTGGGGTTAAATCATCTAATGGTTCTGCAGTCTCAGCATTTACTTCACACTGAATATCATACAAGAAAGTGATATAGTACACATTTTATAAGAAAATTATTTAGAAAAAAGTAACTACCTTCAGTGACAACAAAATAGACAAAAATTTTCTCTTGTCGCCAATTAAGAAAGCATTACTAACAATAGGTAATTCAGATTTAACATTGTTTTCAATTAATACAGGAGGTATATTTTCTCCACCAGCTGTGATAAGCAATTCCTAAAAAAAAAAATTTAAAAAAACACTAAACAATTTCCATACGGCTGCAATAGTTTTTACTTCTCTTTACCTTTATTCTCCCGGTAATGGCAACAAATCCTTTTGTATCGATTTGAGCGATATCACCAGAATGAAGCCAACCATCTGAATCTATAGTACTAATTGTTTTATCTGGTAATCCCAAATAACCCATAAAAACATGACGTCCATATATGCACAACTAAACATAACAAATTACATGAATATTGACTTTTCATAATGTCAAATTATACATATATAAAATAATTTATGACATAAAATAAGATTATTGATATTCACCTCTCCATTACCATCCTGGTCAGGTTTATCAATTTTTGATGAAACTCCTTTTAATGTTTTTCCTACACCAGCTACGTTTTCATCAGTCGGATGACTTAACGTATGTGCACCACCACATTCAGACATCCCGAATGCCTAATGAACTAATAAGATTAGAACTGCACTAAAAGCCACTAGTACACACAATAAATTATATTACCTCACTTAAAGGTATATCCAAACTCATGAAATATTTTTTGATGTCAACTGATATTGGAGCAGCAGCTGAAATAAAATATTTGCACCTATCAAAACCAATGGCGCTCTTGATACGTCCATATATCAACCATTTGAAGAATTTATAAGAATATGTTTCTCTATCAATTCTATAAAAAAAAAAAATAATAATAAATAAATGATAAAAACAATAGGCCGAGAAAAAGTAAATAATTATAAGCATAAAATACAAATTATCTTATTATCTTATTGAATATAAAAAAATTTGAAGTCTAAAACTTCTCTCAAATCTTTAAAATTTAAATTTACTCTACTAGAAACAGAAAGTTTAATGAAATGAATTAAACATAATATTAGAAAAACAAAAATTTAAAACTAATATTAAGGTTAACATTGTTGAAAATAGCTTATCAAAATCTATTAAAACATAACCTCTTTTCCTTACAGATAAAGGCCCCCCCCCCGAGAAATTGATTGTCAAGAACTATCCCCAATTTCATAAACTATATTTTATAGAATTTGTGTTAGTAATATTTTTTTTTTGTCAGTTAATAAATAAATACATTATTAAAATTAAAATAATAGATTTCTAAGGAATAATTTAGTATAGTTAAATGTAAATTATATTTATTAATTATTATAAATTAAGTTTTATATGATGTTGGTTTAAGATATCAACATTATTTTATTAACCTATGACATTTATAGACATCTACAAAATTAGAAAGGTATAAACATTACCTTTTTATCATAAATATTAAAGATAGGAATAGGCCTCATTAATGTTATTATACATTGTAGGCAACAGATATAAGAAGCACGTCTGGAGTAGGGTAAGAGATTTATTGTAGGGCTCAAATGTTATTTATATTATGTTATTATATTCATTGATTAGTTTAAGTTTAATTCATTGATTAGTTTCATTTATTAGTTCAAGCCTCACAAATGCAAAAATACTACTGATGGCTATCCATATCTTTAATACATATCTATAGTTCTTATGTCATAATATTACTTTTATCAGATCGATACTAACCCTTTCATAGCTTCTTCATAATGATGTAAACCAACTTCTTTAGCCCAATCAGCAATGTATTTCTTTAAAGAACCTGACTTTCGGCCAATACTAACTAATTTTTCATTAATTTTTTCCCAGACCCTTGGAACACCCAAAAATACAGTAGGTCTAGCTGCCTGGAGTGTATTTACTAATGAACCCTAAAATAAAAATGTTCAATTATTATTAAAGTAGACAATATAATATTAATAAGTGTACTATTTCATGTAACAGACCTTTAAAGCATCTTTTTCTCCAAAGAAAACTTGTGCCCCTAGAGTGATAGCACAATATATATCTGTAATCTATAAATAAATTTGTTTATTAACTAAATTTGTAAATTAATTCTATACAATTTACATCATAATTAAACATACCTGTGCTGCTACGTGACTTAAAGGTAGATATGAAACTAGAACTTCTTTACCATCCACTAATGATAATAATTGAGTAATTATAAAGGCATTATAAGTGAGATTATCATGGCTAACCATAACAGCTTTTGATGCGCCTTCAGTTCCAGACTAAATATGTTTGAATAAATAAAAAAAAATAAATAAAGTAAAACAATAAATCGTAAAAATAGTAAAATGATGCAAAACATTTTAAACAGACTTTTATTTATTAAAGTAATTTTAACATAAAGCTTCCAATTTAAAATTAACTAAATGAAAACAAATAAAATTTTAATTATTTTAGTCCTTTTTTAACTACAAGAACATATTTTAATTTAGAATATTCAAATTTATATTCATTTATTACTTATTATAAATCTTGAAATAATTAAATAAGATTATTAAATTTTGGAAATAAACAACGGAAATCTAAAACATATGTATTTATTTATAAGAAAAATATTTAAAATAAAATGAGAACCAACTTATTTAAATATAATGAAAAATGCACATCTCTTGAAAACTTTCCAATATTAAAACTGTGTAAAAATATTTATTTAAATTAAAATCAGTTACCTATACAATTTTTAAATTATTTATAGTTTTATTTATGATTGTACATATTATCGTGATAATTCTTCCCAATTTCTTAACACATTTAGATGTGTGATGTAAGAGTTATAGTTATATAATTACATAATGATAAATAATTAAATAACTTATGTAATTTTTAAAAAATTAAAAATAATTCAAGAACATTATTTAAATATTTTGTCTTGTTTTATTGAACCTGCTGTATACAAATAAAAATAATAAAATATTACCGTAAATACTAATGTACAACACTCATTGACTCCCATAGTTTTCAGTACAGCATTTAGTTTATCATCAGATTCAGCCGATCCTATTCTCATCACATCTTCCCACTAATAACATAATACAAAAAAATTGATATACAATTAAAATTGTAAACCCAAATAAAATAAAAACAATTTCAAAAGCAAATTTAACAACATACTTAACTATTTAAATGGGAATTTTTTAAGAGACCTATGTTATATATTTACCAAAATAGGATTATGGTAAATAATTTATCTTCTAATGTAAATATTCATTTTAGGCTAAAGTCAATTTTTCAAAACATTTTATTTGTATGAAATTATTTTGAAATATTCATAATGCACAAATTTAATTGGAGCAAAATAGTTATTTGTCTCTCCTAAAAAGTTGTTGTGTATATAGATATAAATATTTCTTTTTACAAATGTCCATTAATTTATTGCTTACAGTGCTAAGCTTATGATAATAACAAAACTTACAGATAAGACACCTTCTACAGTTGGTTTGCCTTCATATTGAATAATGGCTTTCAAGTGGGGTAAGCGACTCTTGACTGAGAGTATTTTTTCCAATTGTTTACTATCTTCTACTACCGCTATATTTGCTTTGCTTGTCTCTAAACAGTGGAGACAAGCATCAACTAGATTTGTCGTATACATACCAGCGGCAAAACCACTATATTAACAATAAAAGATTTATATTTTTAAAAAATTAAATAATAATAATCTAATGATTTTAAGAAATTTTTCCATTTTTTTTATATGCAAAATAAATTAAAAATAAACTGTAAATTAATACAAGAAACTTACCCAGCATATATAGCTCCCAAATCTGAATAAAACCATTCAGGGGAGTTAAAACCAATTATACAGACACCATGAAATCTTTCAAGCCCCAACTTTATAAATGCTTTGGCAACAGTTCGTACATTTTGTTCATATTCTCTAAAAAAAAAAAATTAAAATATATTCAGGCAAATTTTAGAGGTAATTATTTTATTTTCAAGTATTAAAAATACCAATAAAAAAAATTTAATTTGAAGAAATATTCTAAGAAATCGAAATTACAATTTTAGTAATTGCTTTAATTTTATCTTGATAAACTTAAAACATATATTAAAACACAATTTCTAATGTTGAAATAAACAAAACTTAAAAAAAAATATCTAAATTAGCTTCACAGGCCAGAATAACTATTTACAAATGTGCGGAAAAAAAATTGATAAAGTAATAAAACATAACTTAATGTGTTTTGATAAAATAATAGTTATAAAGCAAAATGTACAACCATTGTAAAACTAATAGCTTTTGCTCAATATCGAATAATAAGAAATATATATAAAAAGAATAATTCAATAATAACCATACTTGTAAGTAACTTTCACCCATTTATTGTCAGATTTATAACTTAGAGCAGGCAGATTTCCAAATTTTTCAGCAGTTTTTGTTAAAAGTCCAGGTACAGATATAGGAGTATTGTCAGCACCATTTTCAATGCGTAATGTAACTCTGCCGTTTGCTTCACTTGTGAATTTTTGTGAAGCAGGTAGAACTTGGTCTGGTCCATCTAAAAATTAGCAATCATATACAATTGTATTTAGCCTAGTTTTAGAATACCAAAATACTTTAACGTATTAGGAATCTAATTAACTAGATTTTTAAAATTAATATTAACATAAAAAAAAATCAAATATAAACTTACAGTTTTGTGCTGGTTCTGTGTTGTTAAAACTTGAATATGGAACAAAATAATAAAATAAAAACATTATGGTATCATTTTAAGAATGAGTTAAGTACCCACTAAAAATAGTTTTAGGCGAAAATAGTCTTATTACACTTTTTTCAATACTAACCTCATTTTGGTGTTATTTTCAGTTGTAGTACTAGGTAAAAATGAATTCTATAAATCAAAAATTACAGTAATATTAGTAAATATACCTAAGACAAATATATCGTGACTTACATTTTACATATAAATATAAATATATTATATTATATTTAATAAGTAATTACTAATTAAAATTATTGTATTATGTAAAAATAACAAACCTCTTTTATTTTGTGTTGACTTCCACCATTTTGTATAACACTTGGAATTACATTGCCGTCATCACTCATTATGAATTAAATAATTACTGAAAAAAAGTAGATAAATTATTAAAATTATTTTACAAATATGAAACCATAACTATTTAATCCTACCATTAAGTTTTAAATGTTATAACATACCTAATTATCTATTTTAACTAATAATTAGATATATTAAAAAAAATTTAAATGAAACATAATTTATAATGGAACAAAAAACAATAGTCATAAACTTAAGTTCACATTTATTCTTCAACCATGATCATAGAATAAACTAAGCAAAAAAACTATTTTTACAATATCTAGATCTTATCTAGATATTGTATAGATAGTTACCCTACCTACATTAGGTTTAAAAAACCAAATTCATTGTAAACTAATTGGATATATTTAAAACAATCAGAATCCGGCAATTATCAAAATAAAACAAATGATAATTTCCTGACGTACAATATTATATTATGCCTTCAAAAATGTTTAGCTACTTAACCTTAAAATGTATAAATGCCTAAGGTCACTATTTTCATGTTTTCTAGAATATAAATATTCTTAAATGGCCTTTTGTTTATAGCTAGGTTTATAGGCATACAAATTTACAATTGATTAGTAAATAATGTCAGATTAATTTACCATTACGTAATAAAATCTTTAAAGGTTGTTTATCAAAATAAGTATCTATAAAACCAAACAAAACATTTTTTAGAAGTTGATACGGGAAGGCCACTGTTGGAAATGGGTAGTTGGTAAGTTACGATGTACAGGATAATTTAATATGCATGCAACAATAAAGTAATGCAAAAAAACCCTCGAAAAAAACTATTCTAAGATTGAGTACTATTAGTTGTTTTTCTCTTGTTGAAAGGTAACCCAGAAATAAACATAAAACATAATATGACCTAGAACGTGAATTGCTGAAAACCATTGGCCTAACTAAAAACTATTTTTCAAAGAAAAAAAAAAAATGAAATTCATTTTTTTGGAAAAATCATTGGGAAGTTAGTTTTGTAATTTATTATACAAATTTAATAGTTATAAGTACTATTTCTTATTTATGCATCAATCATGTTAAAATAATATCAAATAATAATTATCTAATGGTTTAATGATAAAATACAAATTTCAAGTATAATCTAAATTCATAATGTCGATGCTCAAACGAAAATGTGCATTTTGTAATATTAATTATATTCAACAGATGTTAGAAAATTATAAACCAGGATATTGGTTTGTAACATAAAATAAGTAGGTCCTTCCTATGTCTCAAAACCAGTTTTATTTTACACAATATTTTACCTAGTAGGTTGTTCAAGATGACCTTAATCATGCATCTAAGTTAACTCAACCTAATTCATAATAAATCAAAAAACGTACTTTTATTAAACAAGATATATTATAGATACCAAACCACATTTTTTTTTTTTTATAATAATATAGGTATGTAAATTTAGAAAAACTTAAACCAAGTATAATCGCATATATAATTAGTACATATTGATTAAACAGAAATGACAGGTCCTCAATAATAATGTATATCATTATAGTATAAATCTGTAAAATAAAAATATATAATTTTTTCTGGTGGTGTTTTTATAATATTAAATCATTGTTTCCTAACGGATACTTAATTGTAGTAACTAATAGTGTGTTTACAAAGTTTCAAATTAAAAAAAAATATACATAAACATTTATAAAGTAATAAAAGTATATGCTTGTGTGTACTGTATACATTATTAAGTAGGTATGAACAATAACTAAATATGAAATTAGTTTATTTAAGTAATTTATGGACACAATTTTCAATAGGTTTTTAAGGGGTAAATTCAACCCTTGTTCCTTTGGTTTAAAATGCATTGTTTTCGTTTTTTACTATTTATTTACTTGTAAGATAAGTAATGTTAACATTTTTTTCATATTTCAAAACATACCCTTACCTAATATGTCCCCCTATTTCATGTTTATATCAAACATTACGTTAAAAAACTAAATATCTCAAATTTAAAATCTAATAAACCAAATATGAGGTTAATAGGTACAATGTACTTCATAATAATCAATAATGACTAACTATAAAAACGAGCAAGTAATTCAATACATATTTAATAGAATATGTACCTAGCTAAATAATATTTTAATATGTACCTATTCAAAATTATAATATCTTTTAAGTAAAATTAAATCCAAGCAATATCCAAATTAACAGACAGCTGATATTAGAATAAACAAATATTGAATTTACAAAATAAAATAAAATTTAATTACCTAAGTAGTAAAATAATATCCAAGGCCAATTATTTCTTACAGCTATCATTATTTTATTAATAGATTTTGTTTAACTCAAAACTATTAATAGGTAAGTATTCTAAAAAAATTAGAACTTTTTCAAGTCATCCTAATTTTGTAGGATGTACATGGGTAAGCAATGATTATCGGTTTTAAAGGGACTGGTATTATGTATAAAAATACCTTCAAAAGACAATGATGTACAATGTTGAAAACATTAGCCATTGCTGATCGTGTCTATGAAGAGATTGATTTTTATATGTAAATAAATTTTAACTACCTACAATTAAGTAGGTACTTCAGTAAGTACCTATGCCATTTTTGACAAAATAAAATAAATTGATTTACATGTCCTAATATAATACAAATTAATTAACAAAACAAAAACAGATAAAAGTGATGTGTGCTCTAGATTTCTTATCAGTCAAGGCTCAAGATATCCTACCTACCTACATATTACCTATATTATTAAATAGAGCTTCTTGTTATCTACATGTTGATGAAGAACTTATGAATAAATATAAATATAACACTATTATTCATAATTAGGTACTAGAAAAACCCTAAAGCTAAATTTTCTAGAATCATCGAAAATATTTCACTTAATATGGTTAGTTATTATTAATATCTATATATTATAATTAGGTAATTAATAATGGTTGGTATCTACTGGCAATTTAATTTTACAACATTGTCAAACTATTGAGCAGAATTTTAACATGCAAGGTACCTATCTAAAAATAATGATTGAAAAACACACTTAAGGTAAAATAAAATACATTTAATTGACTTATAATAACCATATTTTAAACAATTATTCAGTTTTATTGTTTTAACTTTTAACTACCTTCCTCACTATTAAAACTTAGTAGTATTTATTAATGGCATTACCGACAATGTAAGAAATATGCTCGGTCATTTATCTAGTAGGTACCTATCTTAACGATTAATGGACAAATTATTGTTGGATATTTAATAACAGTTAACAACAATAACTTGCAAGATCTACTCGATTATGTATTTACTTATGTACAAATTTAATGAATTAAAATGTTTAAATGTACAAGAGAAAAAAATTACATCATAGAAGAGATGATCTTCTCTTCGATCTTTGTAAAACTAAATGAAAAAAAATGATAATAATAATAACCCAAAACACGTCCGTCGTGTAAAACCATAAGGAACTGGATACCAGAGTACCTTGACTACTCGAGACGAAAACACACCATATTAAACGAGGATAGTTATTTAACGAACTACCTATGCGTTACATTAAAAAAAAATTGAAAACAAACAAACAAATTTCGACCTTTACCTTTTTGCCGGACGTAGAATATTCTAATTAATTCGACTTATGTGTTTCGGCCCAGGTCTGGTGTGACCATAGAAGACACGTCGCAAACTCGTAAATCGAAAGTAATTCGGACAATAATAAAACGGGCTATATTATTCAAGACGAACGGAACAGCCGTCGAGGGAATGGCACTGGGACGCGAAACAGCGACTGAAGACGGACGGCGTTCGGCAATGTGGAACCGGCCAAGGAAATACGACAGCGCACGAAATTCAAATGAACCCTCCTCCTCGCCGGGAACGGCACGACGACGAGATAAGGACGATGAGAGATAAACCGACTCAATTATTATGCGTTATTACTAAACAATAATATTAATAACACTATGAATACTGTCGAACGCGATAACATACGAAACCCGGGCCACGTAGGTGAATCGTACCGCGGACGAACGACGATTGTCGAGTGTAGACAATTATCTATAAATAATACAATATTCTGTGAAATTGTCGCGCTTGTGCTCCGAACAGCGGAGTTCAGTGGGGCGCGTGTGAAAAATAATAACAAAAATCGACAACTACCTAAAGTTTACTATGCACAATAGTAATTGTAGTGGTGTTAATGCAACTGCGTAATATTTATTTCTACAAAACTCTCACCGTGAAAATCGGGTAGGTACCTTACTACTTCTACGCATATTTCATTATATTTTTGTTTTTTGTTTTTTTTTTTTTTAATGACGACGATCGACGATGACACACCGAACACGCATACGCAAATTCGCGGGCAGGGCACACACCACGAATACGCGGTTCGGACACGGCAGCAGTTTGTAGTTTTAGTAGTCGTGGAAACGGTTAAGGATTTCCGGGGGTGTACGGCGAAAGGTTATTGAGACCGATAATATCGACGGGCGGGCAGTGACGTCACCTCGGTGTAGTTAACTGGCGGCGCGTGTCCTAAGCCCATGGAACAACGTTGTATTCGGCGCGCGGCGCTTACCGATTGTTCCACGGGCCGTGCGAATCGGCTACCTGTCGCCCGGCGACCCAGTCGGTGGCCGGTCGGTTGAATGAAACGGTCATCGTACACGTGACAACGTGGGTTAATCTACCTAGGTAGGATGGGTCGGCGGCAGGGTACCGGCGAGGCGACGACGACTAATGACGCTCGCCCGTCACGATCGCACCACATTGACGTCGACCAATGAAAAACTCGCACACGATCGTGACCGCCACCGCCGCCGATCCGTGCAACGAGTCGCTTCCCGAATTATTTTCCCTTAGATCGTTACTGAATGTCTGCGAGCCGAGCCCGAATAGCGGTAACACTCGTTAGCTATTTTTTTTTCAATTAGAAATCACGGTCAACGTAAAAAAACGTGAATACCCAAATGTAGTCGGGTTTGCGATACCTACCTGCGATAACGTTATTCACGTGGCAACCGGTTTTTTTTTTTTTTTTTTTTTTGTTGTTTTTATATTTTTTTCTGTTTTTCTTTCAAGGTCCTTTTTTTTTTTTTCATATACTCATGATAATTACTTGTATTAGTAATTTATAAACAGTAAAACTAATGTAAAAAATCGTAAAGCAAGCCCGAATAAAGACGTTTTGAAGCCCCGGGGTGAATATTTTTTTATAAAACTCGTTGAAAGACTAATAGTTTTTCGTAAAAATGTCTACTAATCAGTATGGTTTAACGAATGAAAAATAATAAATAGTATAGACATCATAATTTAGATCTCAATTCAAAAGCCACAAGTGTTATATAAATAAATAAATACATTATTTTTAACAAAGTTACTAGTTCTATTATACGAATTATAACACAAGTCATAATCGGGCAACGAAAAAAAAAACATTAAAATATCAAAGCACAAAGTTGATGGTTAAATGCATACCTATATAAAGAACATGTAATACGGCAAAAACTGAGACCCTGGGAGCCATGGCCCTCCCTGCCCCCCCCCTTATCCGGACATATTGCAGATTAAAAAGAAAAAAATATCAATCTAACCATAATAACACCTCTCGTACAAATAATTTGAAAATTTGTTCAATATTCCAAAATATATAAGACGTACTTACTTATTAAAATTTCGAATTTTACAGAGTGAACAAACTTAACAGCAAATTATTATTTTGACGAATACGCTTAAGTGATACTTATTCATACTTTTTAATAGGTTTAGGTTTATGCTTATGTAGAATTAATTGTGAAAGTAAAACCAAATTTTCTAATTTTAGATATTACCATTCGAAATTCTTAATTTTGTGTTTTAGAAAAACCTGAGTAAAATTAAATATAAATTTACATTCATTTAAAATATTATTCTATAGCAAAGAGTATAATCTATACTCAATGTTCTATAATTTTACTTATTAAATGTTATTAAATGAGAAGAATTGTTATATTATTTTAACGACATGTTAACGTCAGACATAATTTCTTGTAGCAGTCATAATAACACAGGAAACCAACATAAAGGAAAGTTTTTTTAACAGTAGAAAATATAGACCCTTTCCCCTATGCCAAGTTGATAATGTAAAAAAGTGTAAATATTTAATTCGAGTAAGTTAACTAGTTTAAATTATGAAATGGCTAATGATACCGTCATGGGTACTGCAGATTGAAAATATAATTCACAACACAGCAAGATATTTATCTAGAAAACATACCTATATAATTATTATTAAAATAGAAATCCACAAAAAAAATATATATATAAGTACACTTATTGTGCATAATAATACTTGTGCGTGGAAAAATAACAATACAATATATGCAATTTTAAATACTTAATACCTATTCTATGTTAATACAAACAACATAATATAATGGTGTAACAATTTAAAAAGAAGATCACCTTCACAAATATATAATTAATATGTGTATAAGCAATGAATATAAAAATGTGTAATAATTTTTTTATAAATTAATTTTACTATTAATATCACTTAAAATAACATATCCATAACAAATTAAATAAATAGGTAGGTTTCCAACATAATAGTTATCTATTTATGTTTAGCCTTTTTTACATTTTTTTCATTAGAAGACGATGGCGCATTTTTAGATTTTGTACTACTTCCACATTTATCGGCTTTAGTAGTTTTATAAGCCAATGACATTTTGTTAATATTAATTTTGTAAACATCTTCATGTATTACCACTCGTTTAGGATAATGGATTCCAACCACACATCCAGCTCTCTCTTGAATAGATTTAGGAGCTAACCACGGTTCATAAATGTACTGATCTGGATACTTGGCCAGTTCTGGGATATATTTTCTAATGTAATCACCGCTCTTGTCAGTTTTTTTACCAAATACAACTGGACTGTAGACTCTAAAAAATTGATGGAAAAATGCAGATGCTGACAACCACATCCAATTTCCAGCATTCATTGACCAATCAGCATCAAGTAATAATTCTTCAAATACAGCCAATCCTTTTTCCCAAGATATCCACAAATCTCCTCTAGTTAAAAAACATGCGACAGAATGTCTGGCCAAGTGGTGTATCCAACCTTCATCTCTTAATTGCCTCATAATGGCATCAATAAATGGATATCCAGTCTTACCATTGGTCCAGGCTTCCAACGCAACAGGATTATCATCCCACGGTACTTGACAACAAATTGGGTTGCCGACCATTTTATCAAAATTTGGAGTTGCAGCACCAACAGTGTAATAAAACTCTCTCCAATACAACTGACCGATTAGGGATACAGGAGGTTTTGTGTGAGGGCTATTACCAATAACTTCTTTTAACCTGTAATAAAAATGACTAGCCGACAAACAACCAAATTTCATATATGGACTTAGTACAGTAGTACTGGGTTTCAGACTGTTAGGTGATGTATCTGGTTTTTCAAATTTGCACACCCATGATTTTTTTTCCATGTACTCTTCTAAACGTTTGAGAGCTTCTTTTTCTCCTCCGGGGTATAGACATGGTTTAAGATCTACTGGGTCAAATCCCTTTAATGTTAACAACTCATTTAAAGTAGGTACATCATATTCACAATTGTTTAAATCATCATCAAATAGACACTCTGAGGGTAATTTATCTGGTGCAGGTATTGGTTGACGAGGATCTGGCATTGAGTTAATAACAGACAAAAATTTTTGATAAGTCATTGGAACGCTACCTCTATTTGCTCTGACTACTAGTTCGGTATTGTACATAGTATGTGAAACTTTTTGATCAACTTTGACTCCATGCTGTCTAGCTAATGTTTCAATTTGCTCATCTCGTTTGCGTGCATATGGTTCTGTGTCCAACTCGAATGTTAATAATTTTACATTCCATTTTTTGAACAAATCTGGAAAGACGTCTTCTGGCAATCCTCTGATAACATACAACCGTGTACCTAATTTTCTAAGTGTTAAATCCAAATCCACTAAACTCTGTTGCAAAAACCTCCAACGGTTCATGCCTGCACGTATGTATTTACGAAAATATGGATCCAATATATAAATAGGTCTGAGCTTATAATACTCACCACAACAAGTTTTTAATTCGTACGATAATTTAAACGCTGGATTATCGTGCAGACGCATACCTTTTCTAAACCAATGTATACTTGTTTCGTGGCATCTGTCTTTTTTGTTTGGGTTCATATTAAGTACGTTAATTATGCGTAGATCAAACGAATATGATAGGTAATTTTCTGTATAAATAAATTTGATTAAGTAAACAGCATTACAACAATACAGTAACAGTATGATTACAACATAATGCAACTTACTAAAGTTTCGTTTAACAGACCAATGATCAAATGGATAGAATGTTTGAATTAAATGAAAACTTATTTACCCATATGAAACTATGAGAGAAGAAAACAAATAGATTTGTATTTCCTTACAAACGATTTAAACGTTGTAATCAAATATCTCGACCATTCTCGTTGTTACTTGTTAACAATTGTTATCAACATAATTATAACACAGACATATAAACTACCAAGATAAGATTAAATCTAATCTGTGATTATAGTATCATAATATTAGCTGATAATGAGGAAAATTTGAAATTAGTATTTTTATTTTTTCGAGTTTATGTCGAAGGTACAAAATATTTGTAGTCAGTTGAAACAATAAAATCGCTCAGATCCTAATTTATAAATATTTTTGTGCGTGTGGTCTTAGAAGATATCTTATGTAGTATCTACTTAGAAAAATATGACGTTTAGTACCAACCTACCTATTCTTGTCTATGACTGGAATATCTTTAGTGTTTGCATTTTACTGTTGTGCTGTTTCCAATGTTCTTATTAACATTAAATATTTTGAATTTTAATCTTCAAAACAATTGTTCGTTCCTTGCTTTTATAGATTCTGAATGAAACGAGATTTGTATTAGTTTTATCATACGAAAAATATATAAAATGTGATGTGATTTTTTTTATGTCTGTGTAAACAACTTTTCAAATAGATATTTTGATACAATCAAAAACTTTCTAGGAACTTTCAAGTAGAATTAATGATCTTGTGAATTTGAGAGGTTATTTTATGATTTTCCGTCTTCCATGTAGTTTTTTTAACAAATGGAAAAACTGGCAATTTTGTTTATTTCTGAGTTACCTTGGTCACAAAGGAGAAAATAAGACTTGCTTGTTTTTTTTTAGTTATGGTTCATATATGTATAAATTAATTTGCTCTTTACATTCTTCCTTCCAACTTTCCTCCTAAATCAGTGGCACGCCCAGTGACATAGCCAGGAGGTGGTTTTGGGTGTTTTAACCCCCCCCCCATCATTGCTTTAATTTTCTTAAAATATTAAGGCTAAAGTTTAGAAGGTTGTAGAGATAGACCCCTAACTTACCCCCCTCATTGAATCCTGGCTATCCACTGGGCTCACCCATCAGCAGTATAAGTCTAGGTTTTTATATCTGAATTATTAACTCGATTCAGAATTGTATTGTTCTTCGAACTAGTAGGAAATCAATTACAGAATTTATATTTAAATTAATATATACCTAGATATATATTTTATATTTTTTTAAATTTGAATGTCAAACATACGGTCCTTAGCAGATAAGTACTTCACGTTTTTTGGTAATAATAATTGTTATAAAGGTTCATTATTATAGGTAATATGATAATTTATAGGTTTATAATATGTATTTAGGTAAGTAATATTATGCACCTAAATAGTTCTTTATGATGCCTCTTCAGATAAGGTTAAAACAAATTGTTTTAAGAGAAAAATTTACTCGGTTTCGTTTAAATAATAAATTAGGTATACTTAATTTGTCTAGATAAAATGTTTTCGGTCAAAAAAATGGCATCAACCTTTATGATAATAATTTATCGTTGTTGGTATGTCAACTATATGTTTACATTTTATATATCTACGTGCGAGTGTTGTTTCATGCAATCAATAAATATATAATGATTATTTCCTAATACCTATATTATCGGGTTGACTTCATAGAATTATATTTTTATTGACTGATGTCATTATAAATTATGCATAATGGAGCATTCACCTTTCAACACTACCTAGGCACCTATATTGAAATGTGAAAAAAAACGAAAAAATGTATATAGAATATAGGTTTTAAAAATAGGTAGGTATCTATATAACTTATGTAATATATTAATAAAACAATTTCAGTTTCTTAATACTAACCGTTTTACGTATTTTTAAATACGTAATAATAATATTAATACTTAAATACTTTTCGAATTTAAGAAAGTGAAAAACAGTGGTATTTTAATAAATCTATATTATTAAAACAACGATAAATCCTTATTGCACACTTAATAAAGATTTTAAGGTAGTGCATAATTAAAATTTGGACAATTGTAGCCTGCAGGTTTCTTTTCGCTATTTGGTAGGTACTTTGTACTATGATGTTCAAGACGTAGGCACTAATTACTCTGAAACTTATCTATTTAAAAAGTTACAAAGGTAAAAAGTATTAATTAACAAAAAATATTTAAAAAAATGATAATATTTTTTATTTTTGCCATCCCCAAGGGAGTATCATAAGTGTGGCAGTACGGCACGCGGCGTATTAATAATGCACCACTACTTTCCTCCAACCTAAAATTAAAAGTGGTATATCTCGTCAGCGGATTGACAGAAATAAAAAATTTTAATACTAAAATTTATTTTAACTAATACTTAATCTATTTATGAACTTTTAAATACAGGCTGCCTTTCGAAAATCAAAAATTAATAGTTGTTGTTTTACCTCCAAAAAGAAGGGTAACAAAAAATAACACAAATATAAAATTGTGGAGCAGCTTGTTTCTCAAATATTCTAAAAAACGAATTCCGGAAAAAGTTAATACTTTCCTAGATAATGAGTGTACCCACTTAAATGAATCGCCTGGTATACCCTTGATATTTATTATTTATTGGGTATTTTTATCAGAGTTACGTTAAAGTAGCCATAATTATATTAACTAGGGTGCCTAAGCAGTAGTCACAGATTGGTTTACAGGGGGGGGAAGATTAATTTTGATTTAAAATTGTTGTAAGTATATTTGTACTTCAACTCCGCACAGTCCACATGTATTTTGCTATCGCTCTTCACTTATCAGTCTCCCGATAGCTAAATCATTTATACTCACCTCGGCGTCTTCGTCAACACGGTGCAAACCGCCGGTAATGTATTTTTTTTTTTTTATTTTATTATAATCTCAAGACCTACTACCTGTACACCTTATCTATATCATTATGACCAAAAATAATATTATCAAAAAAAATAAACAACTTTTTCCGATAAAAACATCTGAAACCTTAATTAATCAAACGGGCTCTAACCAATCGTCAGATTTTTCCGATAACAAAATCGACTGGCAGACTACTAGCAGGCTACTCACGACTCATCTAAACGTCTAAGATTAACACTCCCATATCTCCACTTTCAAAAAAAGACACTAGGATCTTCACCTCTTCAAATTGCTTTTCACCGTTAGCCCCTACTAATGAAAACATCCAAATGGTTACTGACAATGTTGAGCAATCACAAGGAGTCACCATGCCCAAAACCGTCAATCCGCCATCAATATTCTCAGAATCCAACTTATATTTTGACAATTTTACCGCCAAAATAAAGGGATTTACGCAACCCGGTGGTTTCGTATGCAAAACCTCCACCAAAGGCGTCAAACTACAAACTTTTAATTCGGATTCATAAAGATCTGGTGTTAAATTTCTCTAAGAGAGCCAAGTTGCCTTCCACTCGTTCCAGAATAACGAAACTAAACTATACAGAATTGTGATAAAAAAATCTACACCCTTCACCGGACATACCATTCATAAAAGACGAACTAACCTCAATGAGCTTGCAACTCAGAAATATTACGAATATACTTCACAGACAATCTAAATCACCTCCCCCTATGTTCTTCATCAACATAGAACCGGATAATAAAAATTCAGATTTCTTCAAGTTTACCCTCTTATGCTATTCAAAAATAAAAGTTGAAGCCACTTATCCTAGAAAGGACACCCCACAATGTCTTCGCTATCAATATTATGGTCATACGCGCAATTACTGCAACCATCATCCCAGATGCATTCTGCAAAATGTTTGGCAAATCTTAATGCTTTCAGAGCCTTGTAGGTAATATGCTTAATGTAAGGATTAAAATCTAAATTAAAGGCGAAAAGAATACTCAAGTCTTTCTTAGTAAACACTCTTACCAAAGAGGATTAATTTATAGCATATTACATTTAAAGGACATGGGAATTTGACGTCTAGTAAAAAACATGATCTGATGCTTATGAATTATGAATGTTCAGTTACAAACCAATATTATTCAACTTTACAACTAAGCTATCAAGCTCAACTACTTGAAGGCAGCAACAGTTGGAAATAGAATCAACTTTCAAGAACAATTTCACGTCATCAAAAAATGACAATGGCTTAAAGCATTTTTTAAACTATTGATGAACAAAGCAAAGAGAAGGAGAAAATGTGGCCACCTTGTTGTAGCATTCCCGAAGTTATACGCGTAACGGCCGATCGCAACCAATCATTGTTACCCATTGCATTCTCATAGGTATGATTTGAACCAAGATATCAGAAGCTCGCCAAACCCTGATTTGTAAAGAACATTAATAAGAACTACATGATATACCTGGTCGAAGGCTTTAGTAATATCAGTGAAAATAACATCAAGTTGAGAATGGTTTCCGAGAGCACTTAGCATAATATTATTATTAAACGCAATGCTATTAAAAATAGAGCAATGGTTGAACAAAATATGTCGAAATATATAATATATACCACAGTTTAAGATAATAATATCTTAAACCACGATAAATAGCCATATATGTACTTTATGTGACTAAATATACAAATATTATACACATACATACATTAACGTGTATGACTCGCACTATAGGCTGGGTTTTTTTTATAAGCAGCTGGTAAATTCAACAGTTTTATTTTACGTTAAAAAATAATTAAAATTGTTTTAAAAAATAAAAATTATGAAGGTAGTTATATGTTACCTACATCTGAAGATAAGACTTAGGAATTATAGGTACCTAATACATATAAAATTTACGAACATCAATGGTCATTGACTCGGATTTATTAATAGCGAATTATGATGATCAATAGAATATTAAACCGAATATTTAATACGATAAATTAATATTTTATCGAAATACAGAAATTTATACGCTGTATCTATATTATGCAATTTCGTAAATATGGGCGAATTGAACCGATTTAACCTATTTAATATGCCTGATTATTTATACTTTTTATAAATTATAATTTATAATAGGTACCATTGATTATAACTATATATAAATATAATCCATAATGATAATATACTTATTACTTATGTATTATACTTACTGACATACATAAACCTACTGAATCTATGTATACTAAGTATAGCCGTAGTCTACAGGTTATGATAAGATTACGTTATACCTAATAAATTAAGAACCGTCTAACTGATAAAATATTCAAATCGGTCAGTTCGTTTTATATGTATGTTGTGGTAAAAAAAAATTTGGACTGTTGAAGATTATTATTAAACTTGTAGCCAAATCTATATGCCGGGACGTGCGCAGGAGATGAGGTTGGAGTTGTATTCCCCCCCCCCATTGGTTTCGAAATACAATAACTAAAATTATTTATTTTGTAATTTAATCTTAAAATGTAAAGGGAGAAAAGATTGAGTTAAGTGAAAATTGGCTCTTTTTGGATCCAGGTTTTAAATTCTCATTTGTAAGGGAGGGTATAAAAAACAATTCCACTATTTATTCATGATTATTGTTTACTAGATTTTTTTCCACAGATTATTCCTGAGCACACCAATGCATATTATCTACCAGTATGGCACGTAGAGGCTTAAAATTGTAAACTTATATAACAACTTTACTTCGAAATAGGATTTTTTAATTACAATTACGTTGGATTTATAATTGAATTTCGGACTTTGAATACGAAAATTGAATATTTCTTTTACCGAATCTCATAGTTTTCTTATTGGTAACACGCAGATCGAAAAAAAATAAATGCATAATAATGAATTTAACAGGCGTTAAGGTCAACATTATGTCGGCGCAACGTCAGTATTATAGAAGGTACTATATGTTACGGAAAAAATTAATTTTTGTCTCGATATCTCTTGTAAATCCGGAAGGCTAACCTAATAAGTTTTGCAATCGAAAAATGAATGAAATACATCATATACATGTACCTAATACAAATAGGTGTATCATTCAAGTATACCTATTTATTTATACCTCATATACCTACCTAATATCTATTATTACAATATAGGTCCATGACACGTGGTTTATCATACATTTGTATTTACACTGGTTATACCAAATAAAAAATAATGACATTTCCCATTAATACAATATGTGTGCATTAAACAATATAGGAAATGCAAATCCAACCTCGACCTTTATTACATTTTTAATTTATATTCTATAATACTATAACTTATTATAATAACCATTAACCATAATATAAAGATGAACACATAATATACCCAAGTTATTATAATTCATGACGATACTCGTTAAATGTTGAAATATCGGCTAAATTTTTTTCTTTTTTTTTATAGACGCCTTTAACCAATTCGCGAAATGAGTCTAAAAAATAACCCATAATCATATATTTAGTATTTCCACATAAATTTCTTAATAAATTAATAGTTATGAGTATTAATATTTTATAGTAATTTTCATACTGGGCACCCGCCTACCTCTAAACCTTTAAAAAAAAATATCGAAATTGACCGAAATTTGTTTAATCTTACGACCTTTTATTTTCTCTCCCCTCCCCTCTCCTACGAGACATATGAAGAGAAAACACCTTCTTCCCTCCTTATCTGTGTTTTTTTTATACGGTAAGTGCTCGAAATTGAAAATTTATTGAACCATTTTTTTTAGATTCTGAGCGGAGCGAGTACCAATTTATAGGTGTTGCAATCATATTTATTATTATTTTTTTTTTTATGTGAACATTTTTTCTACCAGAAAGCTTACTCCGATCATCAATTATAGCACTTTAGCATCATTTCTGAAAGGAAATGTTCTCTGGGTGATACTTTAGAGAGGACATTTTTTCGAAATTCTGATTAATATTCGAGATAAACAAACACGAGTGATTAACTGTTAAAAAACGAAGCTAGCCATTCGAGAGCAATTTTAGAAAGAAGTTGGTGGCTTTTAATTGTTGTGTACAAGGTTCTCGAAAGAGTGATCGTCCAGAAGATTTCTTGCGCGGGCGAGACGTTTGAGACATCAAGAATAAAAACCGTTATTTTTTGATTTAAGAGACTTACGCGTAGGGGCTAATGAATGGTGATCCCTTAATCATGAAACTACGATGAAATCTCCTTTTTTTAGTAATAATTTTGTTTATGCTACGACGGCGGTGATGACGCAGACGCGCCGATCGTCGTATGAATCTTATTTTTCTAACCATATTATCATGTTTTGACTACGTCACACTTAGTAACACTTTCATAAATATAAATAAATTTATAGATATTGGGTGAAAATAACATTACAATATAGTGTACCGTATAAAACGTACAGGATAAAATGATTAGGATTTATATGTTTATACTGTAAAAAATTTGATATATTTGTTTTATTATAGCTGCACTGCATAGCAGCTATCGGGTATAAATTGGCATATATTAGTTGTTAATAAGTTTTGTTATATTATTTTTATGTAGTTTAATATCTTCTTATACATAGGATAAAAAAAAATAATAATAATTTACTACCTCTGGAAATAAACAAAATTACTTAATTCTTTAAAAACTGAAAACAAATATTGACTGAGTGAATTAACTTTGTGACATAGTTTTGGAACCGGAGGTTACATTTGATATTGCATACTGTTTTGTTGAAAATATTGTTCTACTATAATTAAAAGTATTATTATTTGGTTTTTTAGTACACCTAGTTATTATTTCCATATATTTACTTATATAATTATTTTTTGATACGTAGGTGTTGTTGTAATAATTATTGTTATTGTTTTTGTTGATTCTACCATAATATTTTATAATCAATTATTTTGTTACCGAATCTAATCTGTACATTATATTACTAAATAGGCTCCCAGTCCTCAGACGAAATTATTCAGTGGAGCCCATTTGATCTTTTAAAGATCAAAATTAAATTAAAAACAATAATAGATACATTTTACATAATAACGTACAGACAAACTTAATGGGTATTGGTTAAAATCAATATCAATTAACCCCCTCTCTCCTACGCCCCTATTCCGGCGCCATTGGTATAACGTGAGACAGATAAATTGTAGTTGATACAATAATAATTTATAATACATAAAATATGTATATTTTAATGATCGTAATATTATACAGCCGCCAGTAGCAATCAATATACAAATGCTGTTATATCATTATAATAATAGTGATGTCGGTATATTCGTATATATTGTGTAATATTCATTTCAAATTTGAGATAAATCGTAGGCAGGTAAATTTAAATATTTTATATAAATATATGATAATATTAAAATATTGCGTGTAAATTATAACGCATAAAAAATGTGTACAAAATTAAATTTATGTACTGAAACGAGCGGTCGCGCGACGTGGACTTTGATTTGAAAACAGGTAGTCGTGTAAAGGTTAACCGAAACGGCGTGTTCAATAATGCACAGGTCGTGTCATT